CACCCCACCCCACTTTCCCTAAAACAGTAACCTTTGGGTGTTCATAGAATAAATTATTTATTTTGAAGGTGAGACATTTACTAACAATCCTGGACCAGGCACCAGGGAGCTGGATAATAATTGGGAGGCCAAAAGGCAAAACCTTACAGAAATGAGAGCTCATGAAATGAAAGAATCCAGAAACAAGCTAAATATTTAAAACCAAAATCTATCATTGTTTAAATAAGGCATTGTACAAATAAATAGAAAACATCTGTTTAAATTGTATTTGCCACAGCTTGAGCGGGAATCATTTGCCATGCGCTCGCTCTCTCTCTCTCGCTCTCACTTTCTCGCTCTCTCTCAATATATATAATAATGCATGTAATATTAGAATCAGTGCTAGATGTAGTGCTTCACTTTCCCAGATATCGAATCATGTGAAGGCAACAAAGCACCATTCTAGGAGGAAATATTCTCCACATTATAGCCAAGAAGCCAACCTATTAGGCAGTTCACTGGTGTGCAGCATACTGAGACGGCCAGGTTCTTAAGTCTTCACACAACCAGAGAGCTGCAGTCCACAAATCTGTAGCATGTGTGGAATAAGACTGCCGAAAGCCTAGTGGGGTTGTGGGAAGGGCAGTCCTGCATCTGCGGAAATCGGTACATGCAGCTGCTCATAGCGGGAAGATAGACACCAATCTAAATTCTGACTGACTGCTTTTAAACTCTCGGGCTGAATTTGGGTGGGTGGATTTTGGAGGCACTGAATGGCAGTAGTGAATGCAAGGAATTATACCTCTTTAAAAACCCAGTCGGGCCAAGAGGGCGCATATACAGTCAGGGCTTGCTCCAGGGGTTGTTGGGGCCAACTGAGCAAGACCCCTTCAGTGGGTCGACCCCCTCACACCCGTTGTCCCCCGCTGCTCTTGCTCCTCGCCCTCTTTTTACTATTGCTGCCACTGGCAAAGAGTCAGCAAGCACGGAGGCGGGACGGCTTCTATGCCTTCTTCTCGCCATCTTCGTTATCTGGGCCAGAACAAGCGGCCGATGAGCAAGGCCATCACAATGGAGAAGCAGAGAAGCAACTCCAGGGGATTCTTCTAAGTGATCTTCCATTGCGGTGGGCCCTTGGCAGATGTCCAGCACTGACCACATTTGATGCCAGACCTGACGGCAATGTCTTCTAAAGGACAAATGGAATCTGCACAGATGTTCTTCCAAACTCATTTCTTTCTTTTTCTCTGTGGTGTGTGGAGAAGGAGTGGGTGAGTTTTGTGGCTGGGTGAGATGGTTTAAATCTCCCTGAGGCTTATGCAATGGTCCCTGTGTTTACGCTAAAGTAAACAAACTGGTCGCAATAAGTTGTACTACATATGTAACATAATGTGTCACTTAGCTGCCAAGAGGGGACATTAACATGGAAAGAGTGCCCCCTTTCTGAGTAGGTATTCCTCCAACATTCTCCCCAAAAGTCATGGTAGAAATAGAATTTTAACAGAGTCGGGTACCAGACAATAGGTTTTCTTGTACTCGGCAATTTTTAAATGGGAAAAGGCATCATGAGAGCCAGTGTGGTGCACTGGTTAAGAGCGCAGGTTCTAGTACCCAGGCAACCTGGGTTCTAGTCCCTGCTCCGCCATGGAGCCAACTGGGTGTCTTTGCGCCAGTCACAGATGTACTTCACAGGGTTGTTGTTGTGAGGAGAAGATAAGATTGAGAACAGGAGGAAGAGAATGATGGAATCCACTTTGAAAAAGGCAGGCTATAAATCTAATAAATAAATAAATACAAACTGTCTTAATCGAAGTCCTCATGGAGAATCTGAAAATGCAGGCAGCTGTCAGCTACTGTGTGTGCATGCGTGTGTGCATGTGTGTATATTTCTGTTATATACACAAGAATAATATACAGTGTACGCCATGCAGCAATATCCAGTTTGCCAGGATCAGTGTGGCATAGTTGCCTGAGAACTGGGTGTTCTTTTCTTCTAACTGCTTGTTAGAAATATACTTGTGAAATATACTGTGCTTTAACGAAAGCTCTCTGGCCACTTGAAATGCAGCCTTTGGAGTCTTAATGAGAAATATAGAACCTTGCAAATATTACCATTTAAACGGCTAGAGTGAAACAGGAATTCCACCAAAGAAAAGGAAAGAAATATCCTGCTCTGCTTGATTAGTTTCCACATTCTCTGACTTGCTCTGCCACAAACACGAGTGGGACTTGAAAACTTGGGACTTGAAAAGCAAGTGGAAAGTGGTGACATTCACACATGCTTATGCAGTGCCTTTCCTGATTAATCCAGGATCTGCTGGGTCCACAAATGGCCAGAGAGAGAGATCTGGAAACTCACAAAAAAGCATAAAGCTGATGTCCTGCTTGCCCCCTTGGGGTGCATCTGACCATGTGGGTTCCATTTAATGCCAGCTAAGAGCTGCTGATACGCACAGCCTCCATGAACTTGTCAAACCGTCTTCCTTAAACCATCTAATCTATGTCCATCCACAGGGCTAGGTTTGAGGCCTACTGGCAGTCCTGGATTAAAGCAACTGGGGGGCCTAAACTAGGAGACCTTGGAAGGCCCAAACTTCATGGCATCTTCATAGCAATGAGAAACAAAGCCTCATTCTCTTCTTTATCTACTCAATGAAAGTAGATAACATTGAAGTGTTAGCATTGATTAAAAGATTGTTTATACACTAATAACCTTTAATAAGTTTACAAAAGTATGGAATTAATGAAGACATTCACACAGAGCATTCATAGGGAAATCATAGCTATGGTATATATAAAGTCAGACCAGTTTCGTTCAAGCTTTTTTGGATAAAAATTTATCATCATTGAAATCAGTAAGTTGCAGTTTATCATCTTGTACACAGAGAATGCTTAGATCAAGCAAGTGATATTGGGAAATAGTTGAGCACAGATCACTCTTTATCCTTTTTAGTCAGAAAATAATATTTCGCCTAGGTACATCCCTGATTTTTACTACTAAAATTAAATAGTATGAATGGTAATTATTTTACTTGGGCGGGGGGAGAGGCAGAGGCCCCCTAGGTTTATGAAGCCCTGGGCTGCAGCTCATTCAGCCTATTTGTAATTCTGACACCTCCTCTTTGCCATATCAAGATGATATCAAAAGAAACAGCTGTGAATTTACAAAGCCAAGTGGAGCTCTGCCCTCCGGTGGTGATGCAGTTTTATTACAAACAAAAGTGAGGCCTAGTCAACTCTGATCCACTTTGGTAGAAAGGTCACTTCAGCAGAAAGGAAACTTCATTTTTAATTTGAAGTAAAGAATATGCTTTTTGATCTCTGAACAATCAGCATAAAAAAGGGAAAGGACAAAAAATAATTAAAAATTAAAAATCCAACAAATGTTCATATAAAGCCTAAAATAGCATTTCCCTTTCCTTTCTAAAACTAAGGAAATCTGGGAAAATTCTTTACATATATATAAAAATAGACAGGAATTACTTTAGTGTGTGTGGTCTTCCTAGCAGAAACATACAATCTGTAATATTTACACGGAATGCAATGTGCATTTCCCCAATTATATTCAATGTTATTTAGTAAAACCTATAGGAACAGCCCACTGGGAAGTTTCCTTTCAAAAGGACACACTTTAGCACTACTCCTAGATGAGATGTGTAGAAGATAACTTCTCAGTGGATTCTGTGATCCAAGATGCTAGGAAAGAAACATTCACAGACACTCAAATTAGGGGAAATCTCTACACCAGGGTGCAGAACCCCTGGGGACCAAATTCTATTTTAGAGGCACCCTCAGGGACTGCATTCCTGTGGTGGGCAGAGTTAAAACCAAAAGGGGTGGGGCCAAAATGCCAAAAATATCAGCCAGGTGCCACTGTTACTCCCAATAGCTGAGCCTTAGGAGAGGCATTTTTACCTTTACAATGGGAGAACAACTTCACAAACTCTGGAAAGCCAGTCATGTTAAGCAGTCAGGGAAACTGGGGAGGCCATCCGAAAGACCCAGGAGGTCCAAACCGGAAGTCCAAGAGGGCTGGATGCTGACTTGCAACTTAACTTGCATTCCCCAAATACAGCATCCTCACCTCCTCTTCCTCACAATAGTTCCTTTTGCCCCACTCTGTTTCCTCGATGTTAGCAGGTGTCTTGGAAGCAGTATGAGAGGCAGTGTTGAAAACTACAGCAGGAGGAAGGAATATCAAAAAGAAGGAATTCCTTTGGCTCATGCAACCCCACTTCTGGATTTAAGCCACTAAAGATAATGGAAGCACATTTAAGTTCTCCCACCCTGTAGTGTTGATCCACGTGTATCTGGATCACTAAAATATCCAGCTGTTTTATTAAAATTAAAACAACACAGACCTATCCTTTTCTTTAAATTTTAATTTCATAGTTTACACCACTGCTTGACCTGTGGTCTTTTGAAAGTATAGTTTCGATCACAGCAAGTGTGAGTCCCTTCTCTTTTTGCTAGGTGACAGTCAAAGGCCAGGCTGCTTGTGTTTACATTCAGCTTAATCAAAGACTAAGATAATCTGTACTGTAGAAAGCAATGGTTAAAAGTCTTGAGTCCTAACCATGTATAGCCTTATTAAGCCAGATCCCAGGCACCCCATTTCTGATGGCTGAGAAAGAGAAAATGCATCACTCCAAGAAAGCACAGGACACAGATTCACATACAATTAGAATCTACTCATTTATATCTTGATGCACATTCATAAATAATGTCTCCTACTTCAATTGGAATATAACACTTTGCAGCATAGTGGGGAAGATTGTGACCTGGTTACTTGTGGAGACTGCTGTCTAGATGCTACCTATTGATGGGCAACTTTGAGCCCTGTCCCTCTTCTTTAAAACAAACCTAGATGGCCCATCAAAGGGGGGCCACCTTCAAATAGCCCCTCCACTGGAAGACTGTCCTTTGCACAGTAGGACTATCTGTGATAGTCACTTTGGGTCTAGTTCTCCATTTCCTTTCGACAGTGAAATATCACAATGGATACTTCCCTTTGCTAGTATTTGGAGTCGCGGATGGTGTGATGCCGTGGGAAGGGTCTCTTGTCAAACCGCTGGGAAGCTTTTTGGATCAGCAATTGAGGGGTGGTCCTGGCATCCTTGGCTGAAAGCCTCCAAACCGTGGATTTCCCGGGGGATGCCCATTCATGCCATAGCCTCTTGGTACTGGGGGCCGAGTCACTGCGATCCGTGGGGGAGGGGCAAGGGCACCCCTGGGAGGAGGAGGGTCTTTTCCATTTGCGACGCCAGGCTTTTCCTCCTGCTCTTGAGCTGCCTGTTTCTTGGACTTGGTCTCTCCTTTTTCTTTCTCTGAAACAGATTGGGTTTCACTTTTGTTTTAGAGCAGAGCATTGATTTTTGAAAATCAGAGATGGGGATTGTGAATTTCTGATTGAAGCATTTCCCACACAAGAAGCTGTTTAGAAGAAACTACAGTGTGTCTTGCAGCGCATGGAAGACTATCAAATGTATGATGGCATCAGATTTTATGGGCCAGAGGCCACTTCATCAGATGCATGAAGTGTTATCCTAAGGTGGCAGGTGTGAAGGAAGAGCCAGGAGCAGCACAGCAGCCAGAGCAACATAAGTCGGACTCACTTAAACCCGAGGAGTGAAAAGCATACCCACAGTTCCATGATGACAATCCATTTTCCTTTCCCCCCATTTGTGCAGCACCTCTGCCCCACAAAAGGCCTCTCTAGCAGGGAAGAGGGTTCTCCAGGACAGTGTCGAATGGGACATGAGAAACTCTGGAGGAAGTGAGGGAGAAACCACCCCAAAACCAGGGGCTGCTCTGCCCACTTCTGATCTATTCCCCTTTCCTTCCCCTGCTATGTGCCATCCCACATTGTTTAGGAAGGCCCCAATTCTCCAGAGGGGCTTTTGAGATGGAAATACAGCCCCAGGGGGAGGCTTTCCAACTGTGAACCTTCCTCCTTTTGTTTATCTCAAACCACACTTCTTTGGACATGTCTTGCCAGTCGCAAACCACATGTCCCAGGTCCCTGACAAGAAGTGATCTTCTGCCTCTCACGTGTGGGTTCTCCAGTGTCTGAGACTGAGTCCTTGTGCCTGCCCAAACCCCTTCCTCAAAGTAAGGCTTTTGGCACTGTGGAGGACCAGCTGGAGAAATGAGGGCTTTCAAGGAAGTGTGGAACTGTGCTTCACCCACTTGCTCTTTCAAACATTTGACACAAATGTTAGAAAAGGCCCAGTGGTGGCCTGGGTGGGGGAAACTCACAAATGACATATGTCTGGCACCTGACAGTCTCTTTGGGAGAGGCCAGTGGGGTGGAATCTAGGACAACTCACCGAACGGGCAATTGAGCCGCCGCTGCAGCATCTTTGGCACCTTTGGTACGGCAGTGATGCTGATGGGATGCCTGGCTGAATCAAGCAGCCTTCAGCAAGCGACTCACCTGGCACGGAACGCTCCCGGCACATGGCACTGCAGAGCCTGCTGCAGAGGGCTGGGGGCCCTCGACTACCACCGCCACCAGCTGCTCTTGCTGCTCCTCTCGCTCAGCAGCACTGATGCTTGCTTGGCAGGTGGTGTACCAAGGAGCAAGGAGGCCAGGGCCCTGCCGCCGCTCCTTGCCTCCATTTTCTGGGCCAGAGTGGACAAGCAAGCTGATAAAGAGGAGGAGCAAGGCCAAGGTGCTCTTTTCATTGGTCCTTTCTGGGGCCGAGGACCCTGGGCAGGTGCACAGCCATGTCGACCTGATGTCAGCCCTGCTTACGGTTAGTTGGGATGCTAAAATGAGAAGCAAAGAACCAGGAAAGACTTTCCATAGCACTCCAAGAGGACAGGGTTGCTCACAAACATGTGACTGTTAATCACAGTGTGGATGTTAGGGAGCGCACACGCCAGCTTCTTCTCATGTGTCTCTGGTGACTTCAGGTAGGGCATCCGTCCCTCCAAGCATTCACATGCCGCCTCTTGTGTCTTCCAAAGAGAACCAAACTGGGAGGAAGTCTGTGAATGGCCACTGAGCCCCGATGCAGCTGGCAACCTTCCTCCACCTCAGCATCAGCAGCCCCAAAGGCAGCTGCAGCTGGTGTGAAAGAGGGAAGCTGCCTGCCCAGCAGCTGCGGGGCTGCTCTCCTGGCAGGCTCACCACAACCAGCCTTCTTCAGCATGAGGAACAGCTGCAGCTTGGGCGGCTGCGCTGGGACACCAGCAGGCACTGGAGGCTGAGCATGCTCACTGGGAACCCAGGCTCAAAGTGGGCCAGACTCCAGGGAGTTGTGCCCAGGGAACCTGATAGATTCCCAACCTTGGATGGATTCCTCATGCATCCTGAACTTCACGCTGGGGTTTAATTCACAGTTAGCTCAGGCCTGGCCTGCCTATCTATTTCTGTTAAAAGGTTGGCTCAGCCTATTAGCTATTATCACCTTGGAATCTTAGTATTTAACATGCTACTTGTATGACATTAACAGAAAATAACAGAAATGTTTAGACACTGGTGTATTTCTTTTTACACTTTACAAATGCCTAATTCACTGGTTAATACAAAGCATATAATTGTTGTGACTTGGTACCCTTGAATGGGCATGTGTGCTTGGGTAACAGCTCCACACTTACTTCTAGTTCATGTTTTGTTTGTGGCACACTGCACCAGTTGGGACAAGGACAAACAGGAAGTAGTGATTTCGTGCAATGTGTGGAGGCCTGCCTTCTTTGTGAGTTCGAATTTCACGCTGGTTGCCTGCTAGGCAAAGATTTAACAGATACTTGCCCTCAGACAGGCAAAGATGGTCTAAGGTGCAACAGTGGAGTTTCGGCCTGATAGCCAACAGATTAGAGGCAAACAGCTTTTTTTTTGGAGGTAGGGAAGGGGCAGAGAGGTAGAAGAGGGTGTAATGGAGAGCAAAGAAACACAAAGATCGCCAAGCCATTTCTTACCAGGTTCTCCCTTAGATGTGTTCTGTTTAGGCTCAGTGCCGAAGATATCTTCAGCATCCTGGGGCTGTTGGGCTTTTTGTTTGTTCCTCCTTTTGTTCTCCTCTGCTTGCTAAGCAGAAAGAAGAAAAGTCAGCATCCCATAATTATTCTTGAGACCAACCAGTGCCTATAGAGAAAATCAGAATCGACCATCTTTGGCCATCCGTTTCTTACATTCTGCAATTTCTTCTTGAGCTCCATGTTCATATCCTTATACCCTTTTGATGTGGCATTGAGATAGTAGATACTCAGGCTGAAGGGAAAACAAATACTGTGTTGGCGACGTGTGTTGCACGATTCATATCTCAATCCAAGACTGTTCAAGAACGCTGGCTGAGGCACGCCTGGAACTGTGGGCCTTCCCTCTGCTTCAAAATACTTCACTAGACAGACAGCCTTCTTCATTCTCAGCAGCTGAGACAAGCAAATGGGTCCCTAGGCAGAGCTGTGCTTTAATGTTCCCTGAGTGCTTATACTGGCATTTCAACCACCACCATTACACACACAACCCCACACAGACACACTAGCGTCCCCCCATTCCCTGGTCTCTGCAGTAAGGGAAACTCTCATCCCAGAAATTCAGCAAAGAAGGGGATTAGCACGTTACAAAGGAAGCGATGAGCACTGCTCACACACACACACATTTTCTCTATCCCTAAATAGTCCTAGTATCACAGAATCACAGAATCATACAGCTGGAAGGGGCCTGGCAGGCCACCCAGTCTAACCACCTCCTTAGGGCAGACCTCAAGTCACCCATCAAGATCTCAGCCCAGCCCAGCCCTGCTTAGCTTCCATGATTAGGCAGGTTCAGACACCTCAAGCTATACGGAAGCCTGTGTGTCCTTTATATGTTTTCTTGGTCTATAGCAGAATGAAAACTGGGATGAGGAAAGCAAGGAAGAGCCAGTGTTGTAAATGGGATAGAGCAGGACCAGAGGCATGGCTTGACTCCAGAAAGGAGGCCTCAGCCTTGAATTGACAAGAGCAGAGCAGGGCAGTCTGCCATTTTGTATGGGCAGTAGGTGTCATGGCCAGGGTTGCAACGATCCTCTTGGGATCTGACCCTCTTCCGGTCCTCAGACTTCTTCATGTGCTCAGCCCTAACTCAGCAAGTGAGCTGAGCTGATCGGGACTGTCATTTGGGAGTACTTTCATTCACAGGTCAAAAATGGCTTGATGGCACATAACAGCAACAGGACCAGAGAAACTGGCTCTGCCACAGATCTCAGTGTCTGTCTTGGGCCAGCCCCTGTCTTTTAGCCTAACTTCCTTGCAGGATTCCTGTGGGGATAGAGCAGCAGGTGTGGGGCCACATATGCTTCCTTGACCTCCTTGGAGGAAGTGAAGGGTACAAATGTAATAAACATGTATAACTAAACAAATAAAGCGTGCATGCCCACAGGAAGCTAAACAAGGAGGCTGTACATACACCATCAGTAGTATGAAGGGCAGGATCACACCAGGGTTTGAGGCAAGATTAAAGACTTTCTGAAACCAGGAAGGAAAATCATGCTCCAGGGTTTCTCCAATGACCTCAAACATTCTGTTTTTTCCACTGTCAACACAGAAACAGAGAGACAGACAAACAGTCAGTGCTTTTGTAAAAATGCCTATTTAAGTTGCCCATCAATAGCTAGCAGATATACAGGTCACTAAAGGTATTATCTTATGCATGTTTAGACAGAAAAGAATTTCTGCAGTTGTTGTTGTTGTTGTTGCTGTTGTTGTTGTTGTTGTTGTTGTTGTTGTTGTTGTTGTTGTTATTATTATTATTATTATTATTATTATAACATTTCTATGCCGCCCCTTGCCGAAACCTCGGGGCGGCTTACAACATGATAAAATACATTGAAATACAATAGTACATAATAAATTACCATTAAATATAACAATACAAAAATACATTGATTTACAAATACAAAATTAAAATTATCAGTATAAAATAAAAATATAGGAGGAGAAAGAGAAGGAAGAAGAAGTTGCCCAGGCCAGATCATATGTTTTAACAATTGAAATGATGTTTAAATAAAAAGGTCTTTACCTGGCGCCGAAAAACCAGTAACGACGGTGCCAGGCGGACCTCTTTGGGGAGTGAATTCCATAGGTTGGGCGCCACCGCAGAGAAAGCCCTCCTCCGGGTACTTACTCTCCTAATTTCTTTCATGGAGGGTTCCCGGAGAAGGGACTCTCCCGCAGATCTCAAAGGGCGGTCGGGCATATACGGACGTAAGCACTCGTTCAGGTAGCCAGGACCCAAGCCGTTTAGGGCTTTGTAGGTCATAATCAACACCTTGAATTGGGCCCGGGCTTCAATGGGAAGCCAGTGAAGCTGACGGAGGACTGGAGTCATGTGAGCATAACGCCCCGTCCCCGTCAGCAACCTGGCAGCTCTATTTTGCACCAATTGAAGTGTTTGGACTGTCTTCAGGGGAAGCCCCACGTAAAGCGCGTTACAGAAGTCTAGGCGGGAAGTTACCAGCGCGTGTGTCACCGTCGCCAGGCAGTCGTATTCCAGGTAGGGGCGCAGCTGATTAATCAGCCGAAGCTGAAGGAAGGCGTTCCTTGCTACCACTGTCACCTGAGCTTCCAAAGAAAGCTCCGGGTCGAGGAGTACTCCTAAGCTGCGGACCTTATCCCTAAGAGGGAGTGTTGCACCATTCAGGACCAGGTCAAATCCACCCTCTCCGAAACCCGATCCGCCAACCAACAGGACCTCCGTCTTGTCTGGGTTGAGTTTCAGTTTATTGGCCCTCATCCATTCCCTTACCTCGGCCAAGCACCGGTTCAGCACAGCCACTGCCTCACCTGGATTAGTGGAGAATGAGAGGTAAAGCTGGGTATCATCAGCGTATTGATGATTCCGCAGCCCACACCTCCTGATGACCTCTCCCAGCGGTTTCATATAGATGTTAAATAGCAGAGGGGATAGAATGGAGCCCTGTGGTACCCCATGGCATAACTGCCATGACGTAGAGACATGGTCCCCCAGCACTACCTTCTGGAATCGACCGTCGAGATAGGAGCGGAACCACTGCAAAGCAGTGCCTCCAACCCCCAATCCCGCAAGTCTATCCAGAAGGATACCATGGTCGATGGTATCGAAAGCCGCCGAGAGGTCCAGAAGAACCAACAGGGATGTACTCCCCCTGTCCTTCTCCCTGCACAGGTCGTCGTACAGGGCGACCAAGGCAGATTCAGTACTGTACCCGTGTCTGAAGCCGGACTGAAAAGGATCCAGATAATCAGTTTCCTCCAAGAGTGCTTGGAGTTGTCCCGCCACCACTCGCTCCAGCACCTTGCCCAGAAACGGGATGTTGGCCACAGGTCTATAGTTAGTGGCCATCTCTGGATCCAGTGACGCTTTCTTCAGGACCGGTCGTATTACCGCCTCCTTTAAAGGGGCAGGCACTCGACCCTCCCTCAGAGAAGCGTTAACCACTTCCAAGATCCAGGTCCCAATCCCGTGCTTGGAGTTATCTATTAACCAAGACGGGCAAGGATCCAATAGGCAAGTGGTGGGACGTACTCTTCCAAGCACCTTGTCCACATCATTGGGCCGCAATAATTGAAATTCCTCCAGTAATTTTGGACCAGACGGTGGCATTGGCGACTCCTCAGAGACCTCTGATTCATTAGTGGAGTCCAGCTCGTGACGAATCTGAGCGATTTTCTCCCTGAAATGCCTGGCAAAGTCGTCACAGCGGGCCTTTGAGGGTGGCATCGGATCTTCCTTGGGACCCAGGCGAACCAGGCCTTGCACCACTCAAAAAAGCTCCGCTGGACGGCATTGTGAGGAGGCAATGGAAGCGGAAAAAAACTTCTTTTTCGCCGCCTTCACCGCCACAGCATAGGCCCGATAGTGGGCTCTCAAGTGTGTTCGGTCAGATTCATCCCGTGATTTCCTCCACCTACGCTCTAGCCGTCTCCCAGCTCGCTTCATCACCCGTAATTCAGGTGTATACCAAGGGGAAGAGCGGACTCTGCCCGGTGGGAGAGGACGCTTAGGAGCGATCGTGTCCACAGCCCTGGTCATCTCTCCGTTCCACAGTTCGACCAGAGCCTCGACAGGAGCACCAGTCTTGTCCACCGGAAACTCCCCCAGGGCCCCCAGGAATCCATCCGGATCCATCCGGCTCCGGGGGCGGGCCCATACAATCGGGTCCGCACTCTTATAGAGGGAGAGGCCGCTCTCGAGCACAAACCTCACCAGGAGGTGATCTGACCATGACAGGGGAGTCAAACATAAGTTCTTCACCCTCAGGTCATCCTCTACCTGCCCCGTCGTGAATACCAGGTCCAGAGTGTGTCCACGTTCATGGGTAGGGCCAGTGACGTGTTGAGACAGGCCCATGGCCGTCATAGAGGTCATGAAGTCCTGAGCCGCCCCGGTCAGTCCAGACTCGGCATGGAGATTGAAGTCCCCCAGGACCAACATCCTGGGGGTCCTCAACACCAGATCCGAGACGGTCTCTGTCAGCTCAGATAGGGAGACTGCTGGGCAGAAAGGTGCACGGTACACCAATAGAATCCCCAATCTGTCTCGTTCGCCCAACACCAAGTAGAGGCACTCCAGCCCTGGTCTCAAAGGGACCGGAAGGCCCGTGAGAGAGATGGAGGCTCTGTAAACCAACGCGACTCCCCCTCCTCTCCCTTCTGGGCGTGAACAGTGTTGAACCAGATACCCGGGCGGGCACAACTGGGAGAGGGCAACATCCCGTCCCTCTCCCGCCCAGGTCTCCATTATGCAAGCCAGGTCGGCCCCCTCATCCACAATCAAGTCATGGATGAGGGAAGATTTATTATTGATCGACCTGGCATTGAGCAGCAGCACCGTCAGACCCGAGGGGTGGTTGACAAGGCTACCTGGCGCCCTCTGGTTGGGGGCAGGATCAGAAGGAGGAACAGGTGTCAGCCATCTGTCCATCCTTCTTCTACGTGGACACGTTAAGCCCCTATTGTTGTAACGACCATTGCCCGTGACCACGCCAATAGCAGCCCCCGTGGGTTCCCCAGGATATATAAACGTCGACATGGCCAGGAATGACTCAAAGCACTAATTAAAGCAGGGTAAGATTATAAAGTAGGTCGGAGGAGGAGAAAAAGAACGATAAAAAGAAAAAAGAAAAAAAAAGAAAAAAAGAAAAAGGGGATCCTTCCTCTTCCCTGAGAATCAGCAGTAGGCAAGCCTATTTCAACAAGAGTCCATGGCCAGCCCAGCCCCCCTCTCGTCCCCCCGAACGGCACCCCAAACGGCGGCGACCCCTTTGGTCGCCGCCCTTCGGCCGCCGGCCCTTCGGCCGCCGGCCCCGGCCGTTGCCACGGCTTTGACTCCGCAGGGCGCCTCCGAGACCCGCCCCGTCGCGCACCGCGCGCGCCCGATCACCTGGGCTGGCGGGCGGCGCTCTCCGGCGCCGCGTGCGGCCGCGCTGGCCGGTGGAGCTGGCTGCCGTCGAGGTCGCAGCCGCGTGCGTCTGCCTGCATTCGCTTGCCCGGGAGCGGCGTGATGCTGGAGGTGGGCGGAAGATATGCAGTTCCCGGAAGATATGCTGTTTGGGGCATGTTGGCTATTGGAGGACTTTTTTCCTGTCTAAACTTGGACAGGATTATGTGCTTAGTCAATCTTCTCCACTATAGTGGACTATATTGTGCTTTTTAAAAAATACACACACACACACACATTTTCCTAATGTGTGCCTATATATGTTAATCTGCATATGCAAATTTACTTCCTATCCTTCAACGATGCTTAAGTGGCCACCCTAACTGGTAGTTCAGTCTCACTTCCATCCCTGATGCTGGTGCAGGTACAATTCCTGGCCTGTGGACCAGACCAAGGGGAAGGTGACAGCTCACACGTCTGTGGTGCAAAGAGTCCTGCAGGTCTTCACCCTGCTCACTAGCAGCCAAGCAGGGGCACTCGCTTGTGCAGGCACCCCAGACTGAATGCTCTAGCCGGAACTTCTGCTTAGAGAGAAGTTCAACATATTGGTCCTCCTGGATGAAAAGATCCATGATGGGTATTGTACATTTAAGGGCATCTTGATCTGGAAAAGTATTGTGAGATGAAGTTCCATCAAGAGAGTGATTAGCTGAAAATGCCATTATTTTTAGTTGCTGTTTACAAAAGATGTGAATGTGGTAGCAGAAGTAATAATTATTTGACCACAAGGAATGTATATATTGACAGCACCTTATGCCTCTATCTGCAGCTGCACTTGGGCAAATTCTCGGACTGTATTTACATAGATCCACCTTTAGATGTCACCCACGGTTTGCCATTTTTGTAAGGCAAAGTAGCTTTCTTCTGCTGTATGCACTTTGTAGCTATTGGCTTTCCTGATTTCTTTTTAAGTTATAAATATTGGGTTGGAGCCAGGCTTAGACATAGAGTTGACCCACCAATTGCCAAATCTTACAGAAACGAGCTGGCGTGCCACCTCTAGCATGCTCCCACTCTCAATTAACAATCTACATCACCACCACCCCTTTGGTACATAGTTACCATGATGTCAGATACTGGGTTATTTACTAATTAATCAACCAAGAGTTTATCCAGGAACTAATCACAGGTTAACTTTGAGTTACTTAATTGCTAAAAAAAAACCAAAACAAAACCCTGCAGTGTAGGCTTCAGACATTGCACTAATTCATTTGAACAGGGCGATCCTAGTTGTTAACTAAATGTGGAATTCAGGAGCAGGGCAGAGACAGGGCACCAACAAACCATGGTTTAAAGAGCTCAGGTAAACCAGCTTTTATAGTCACCACATAGGGATCCAAATCCACTGTTTTAAAACTCTAAGACTCTTTTTCATTTAGTTATTTGCAGGAGTCACATATACATGGTAAACAGCATCACAATAAATGAATTCCTTTATAAGACTGTACACTCTAAACAATTGATAAATTAGCACTAATGAGAACCCATCACATGAAGATGTGTGTGCAAGACTGAGAGGGAAAAATAAACAAAACAGAAATGACTCCTGTACATTTGCCTTAAGCACCCCCTCCGCCCCCAATATCTAGCGTTGTGAACACCTTTTCCACCAGCCTTTCCTCGAATGAGAATTTCTCCTCCTTTCCTCCCCACTGTTCCACCTGCAACCCTGCCCTGGAGAGTTTCCCTGCAGCAGATGTTGAGGGTGCAAGGGGAGGGGGGCTGCAGGAATCTCCCTCTCTTGGTCCTGCTCCTGGAAACAATTCCATTGCCTTCACAGGATCCACCATCTATTTCCTACAGAATATGCTCACAGTCTCTGCATGGTGAGAAAATAATTCAGCAGACAATTTTCACCATCATGGAATCTCCATCTTTGGAACCGTTTCCTGTGTTGAACTTCTACATGCCACTCAGCTGTTAAAGGAAGAGGGACACAGCTGGGGAAACAGCGCCATGAAATAGCAAGGACTAAAATTGCCTGGAACTTGCTCAGGAAATAGTTGATTCTGTCTTTTGTGAGCAAGAAGGAAATTGAGAGAATGAAAGGGGAAAGACGCCTGGTGAGGCTACAGGGCTCCTTAATACCTGATTAGAGGTTGTGCCCCCATTTGATATGGTAGCTTAGAAGTACACTGGCACTGGGATACAGTGGGACTTACTGACAACTTAAGTGCGCATAGGATGCCTCTGTTGTGTTCATTTTGATAAGCATTAGTTGTGTCTTTCTGTCATAGGAGTGCACTGACCCACTGGGCTATTGTAGGTCTGTTGGTTGTGTATTAACCACTCCAGCAACACATCCTGTCTGGGCATGGATGCCATGGCAAGCGTCTGGGTCACCCGCTGTAGCGTGATTCTTCAGAATGGCCACTGGCACGCAGCTCAACCCATCATGGCTGCAATAAGCCAAGGTGAGCCACAGTGATCATGCGAACCAGGCCAGTGCATTTAGCCAACTCATGAACAGGAAAGAAATGGGTATGAAAAGCAACAGACCTGAACGGGCCACAGTCAAAAGATGGTGGAATGGAGACAACTGTGTAGACAACCGGCAGAGTGGAGAGGAAGAGAATGAACAGCAGCATGGCCATGTAGAAGTTGTTTGATCTTGAGGCTTTGAAGACTCGTTCGTGTGGGACGTTACAGCACATCACGGCCCAGCACTGCAGGTACATAGATGTATGGAGACGAAGGACATTGATAGCTGGGAGGCATGGAGCATAGAAAGAGCCCATCCTAGAAACATTAAAGCAACCATTCCGTCATAAAAAGGCTACTGTGGCCTATATACAAACCACTGCCTAGCTCGGATGTTCCTTTGTTTTTCCAGTCACAAACTCTGCTTAACAACTTGAAGCCTACAAGATATTATTCTTCATCCACATTATTTGACTGGTCAGTGTTTCCAGAGGTGTTGTGCACAATCTGTCTCCGAAGTATTCATGCTCATGGTGGACCAATTAAGATTTTGCCTACTAGCTTGCTTTTTATATTTGCTTATTAGATTTATATACCACTTACCATATTAAAATATTCCTAAGCAATTATGTGATATTGATAAAAAGCTCTATCCACCTAAGATTTTCTTCCTCCCTCCCTCCCTCCCTCCCTCCCTCCCTCCCTTCCTTCCTTCCTTCCTTCCTCCTGCTCCTCCCTTTTCGCAATATAACTTCAGCTGATGGCCTTTTTTATTTTCTAAGGCCTTTTAAATATGCCAGTTCAGTTTTGTTGTATGTTAGCATTTTCCTCTACTGTATTACTAAATGGTATTATTTTTATGGCTTTAACAGCTTTTAAATTTGTTTATAAAGTTGTTTTTTTCTGCTATGAGAATCTCTGTATGATTGAAGAAGGGGTTATTTAAAACACACACACACACACACCCTGTATTGGCAGAACTTTCCAATGCAGAAAGCATTTTTAACTTGCTTGGTAGTCAATGATCTAACCAAAAACAGATTCTTCTGAAAGATCTCCTGCGTCAATACGGTTGCCAAGCTATGAAAGTACATTTATAGCAGGGGTGGGCAGGAGGTAGCCCCAGGGCTGCATGCCACTCCTGCCCTGCTTTCCTGCAACCTTTTACTGATTTTCGAAAGCCAACCAATAAGAGTTTGGCAGGAGGCATCTGCACGTCCCCCAGAGCCCACAAGACAGAAACGAAGGAGGAGAGAAACAGAGAAAAGGGGACAGCAGCAAGTGAGATTGGGAAAGGGGTGTCCTACCCACTTCGGACTCTGGCCTCTGCCCTGCCCCTTTCTGTGCCCCCAACAGATTGCTCCTAATGGACTGCCGCCCTTGACAGAGAACAAATGGTTGCAATAACCTAACCTGTGTATTGCATTTTCATTTGTTACAGTGTTTGGATCATTGACTTTGATTCCTGCTGTGACCTGCATTTCGCTTTATCCTAGTTAATATGATTCCTTCACAATCATATGACAGGTAATAAATGATGAAAAGGTAAGATATCAGCCCCAGGGTGGAGGCATCCCTGTGGTGGGGGGTGTTCTTTGGGGGTGGGATTGGGAGCCTAAGGCCTGAACCCTCAAGGAACACCAAGAAGCTGTGCAGGCTGGGCCATGGCATGCTAGAGCCACAGCTGGCCCACAGGCAGGGTTGCAGTCCCTTCACCTAGACTTCGACGTAACAATCAGAATTTTCCTAAAATTCTGCAAAATCCAGGCAGTTTTCAGCTTGCCTTGATAGTTCACTTCCTGCTTCAAAGAAATGTATATAGACTCAGATGTCAGAGCCCCTGATCAGTGTCTGAACAATGTGGGGTGCGTAGTGCTAGATTTGAACAGCAGCATCAAAATCCAGGAAAAGGGTCACTAAAGCTGCAGGTTTTCCCCAAATTGGTTATTTGACTATCATAGCTGAAGTATCGCACTGGACTCACAGCAGCACGACTGTTCCTTTGGAGGAGCATCTGCATTTTCTTGCATCACACCAGCAAAGCTGTGTGGGTGCAGTGGCACAGAATTGTTCAGCTGCTCAGAGAACTGAGCAGTTGGCATCCCAGCTGTTGTGTGGGATGGGAAAGTTGTCAGCCGGACTGTGAACCTCCCTCAGGCTGAGATCTGGGAAAAGGCTGAGATGCAAAGAGACAGGGTGGCAGAAGACACAACACTCTGCTTTGATCCCCACATATACATAATCACATCATAAGATGCAGCTCATGTGCGTGGGGTGGGAATCTGCAATTTCAGGATAGGCTTTAGAAGCATCAGAGGTTAGTCATCCTCCCTCAAGGAAACCACAGGGCTATGAGCTTTCTGGTGAGAAGGCTTCTCATGGGTGCTTGCCAGTGGTAACTTTTAAAGACAAAAGTCCTTTGTGCAAAACAGAATCCAACTCAGAGTCTTGATGTGTTATGACCTTTAGTAAGGTCCTGTGTTTTGGTCACAGAGGTGAAACACCTTGTAGGGCAAGAAAGAAGCACTGAGTAAGGAGTGGTTTTGTCAATCGTATCATCTTGATACAATCCGTTCAGTGGTGATGGTGATGATGATAGCCATGTACACAGCACACTTCCTGAAGTTAAACTTCGCCCTACACAAACTGTGCAGGACAACTATTTGTCACACTGGAAAGGCGAGATCCAACATCACTGTACTTTCAGAGAAAGAGCCTGATTTGCCATTCCATTAATCCCCAATTGTTACCAATTTATTTCACAGCATCCAGCCAAGATTTCAGTTTAGTCACACTGCCACAGTGAAACTGAGACAATGAAATGGAAACTCAAGAGCCAAAAAGACAAGGGTGCTTTTCTGCATTAACCCTGGACACTTCACATGCAGCGTGAAAGAGTTTGCAATTAGCATTGGCAAGCCTTAGTCCAAGCAGGTTATCCAAGGTACAGTTTATGGGCTCTGACTCTTACCAGATCATGCCTTGATTGAAGATCAGACCCAACACATTTCCACTAATATCAAATTCTGAATACGAAGGCTGAAGAAAAGGCACAGAAGTTGCTCTTAGATTTGCAATACATCTTATATGCAAAGACTACAATTTTGCACTACCAATTTTGTCTCCCCAGCATATGAACAAAATTCCAGAATCATCAGAAATAATTTATATACCCTGAACAAATATGAAATATAGTGTCCAAATGCCATCTGATTGTTCTATTTGATTTTTTTTTCTTTTCTTTTAACATCAAATGCTAGGGCCTCATATAGTGTTGGAATAGCTGTGATTGAATCTAGTATTTTGATCTTTTGAAAGCTTTTTTTAAATCACAAAGCAAGCAATAGCAAGTGCTTCTTAACATTTCAGATTACAGACAGTGTCATAGAAAGTCATAGAATCACAGAACAGTAGAGCTGGAAGGGGCCCATAAGGCCATTAAGCCCAACACCCTGTTCAGTGCAGGACTTCAACTTAAAGCATCATTGACAGATGGCTGTCTAACTGCCTCTTGGATGCTTCCACTGTGGGAGAGCCCACAACCTCCCTAGGTACTTGGTTCCATTGTCGTACAGCTCCAACAGTCAGGAAGTTTTTCCTGATGTCCAGCCAGAATCTGGCTTCCTGTAACTTGAGCCCATTGTTCCATGTCCTGCACTCTGGGGTGATCAAGAAGAGATCTTGGCCTTCCTCCGTTTGACAACTTTTCAAGTACTTGAAGAGTGCTATCACATTTCCTGCCAGCCTTCTCTTCTCAAGGCTAAACCCAAGCATTTCTTTCAATCTCTCCTCATGGGTGTTCATTTCCAGTCTCCTGATCATCTTCGTTGCCCTTCTCTGAACCTTTCCCAGTTCACAATCCCAGAGCTGTGGTTTCCCCACTACTCCCCTCCCTCTCAACTTGGCAATGTGGTGAACTCAGATACAACAGCCTTCTCTTCATTGTTTTTTGCCAAATCCACATCCAAAAGGAAACCTTTCCGACAAACACTGAATCACGTGCTCCTTTCATTTCAGTAAAGATCTTGGCCAGGACAGGTATTCACAACACTGATAGTGTGGGAATGGGGGCAGAATCCCACCTAGCACCGGTTCTGAAGGTTTAAAGTATGTTGGAAGTGTATGCAGCTCAGACTATAGGTACCAACATATCGCTGGCATACATTCTTGTTTCTTGAGCAACTGTATGATAAGAAAAAAAATCAGCAGATGGACTTTTTTTCCCCTGGCATTCAGATGAAGTCCTGGGGAAAAGTCCATCTGCTGAATCTCTGCTTGTCACACTGCTGCAAAAATACACAGGAGCCCTGCCAAAATAGTGATTGTCTATAATAAATGCAAAATGCCTGCTTGGGCTCAGATGCTCTGTGTTGTTGGATCAGCACAAAGAATCCCTCCATATATAATACTCCCTTAATTGTGATGTGAGAAATTGAATGACTCACAGAGTCATTAAGCCTCGAATAAAGCATTAATCAATTGTTCCTAACTCATTGGGCAACATTAAAATGCAAAAGCTTTAGCACTCTACAAAGAACGGTGTCCAGATAAAGCAAAAGCAAGGCGCTATTGTGAAATATTCCATGGCTGCCATTAAACGATAGCACTGGGCGAGGAAAGCTTGTGCCAGAAGCAGTGATGTAGTGGAGCTAGGGCTTGCAGGGCTGAAGTGCCAGGATGTTTTCATTAGCAGCGGTAATTCGGTCCTCTGACAGCCACCTCCCTTGTTCTATCTGGGCTTAATGGTAATCCCCACAATACCTTGGAACACAGATTTTCCTAGAACATGGGTTTTTGTGAGCAATTCCTGTTGTAACACAAAGCATTTTAGGATGGCTTAACAATCCATCAGAAGTTAAGACCCATTTCCTTTACAAAGAAGCTACTCCAGATGCAAATAACTCTTGCTAGAAGTGGCTGGTCTATACAGACCAACACGCTTGCCTCCTTGGGGATGTGACTGTCATGATGAATGCCTGACCTTCAAAACTTCCACTGAACAGACATTCACACTCACCTCAGGACAGGGAGAGGAATCAGGAAGCTGACTCCCAACTCCTGTCAGAGGGCAGCTCTTGCATCCTTGGATCCTTCACTTAAAAACAGCTGTGCTACATAGTCAACTTCTCCTGTCACCTTCTAGTCAGTCAGCTAGTTATGTTCTCTTTGAAGGATGCAGAATGCAATTTTTATTCCCAACAGTAGCCCCCAGCCTCTGGAGAGGTCTGTCTGTTACCTATTTTAATGTCCTTTTTGGAAGCAGCAAAGGCTTTTTTAAATTTTCACAGACTTTAAAAACATACTTTTGTGGTGCTATAGTGTGTTCTAAGGAAGTTTTAACCCTGAATTTCCTTTTAGCAGCTAAGTAATTAGCCACACAGTAATGGCAGATTTTAGCCTCCTCTTACAATTTAGGATGGATTTAGGTGGATTTAGGATGAGGCGCTAAGCCGCAGGTGGTTTAACCAACCCCACTGCAAGCCATGGCTCAGGGGGTGTTTTATAAGCCATGCCAGGGTGGATTATGAACCCAGCCTGGGAAACGGTGGGGTTCTGAGGACATGCTAAGCAACTCTCAGTGGCTTAGTGCATCGTGTGAACAGTCTCTGCCTTGCTTTTATTTTTGTTCTAGAATAGGCATGGGGGGTCACTCTTACTGGAGTTCAGACCTGAATCAGGGGTGCTGCACCTCCCCCAGAGCAGAAGAACAGAAGGATGGAGTGACGAGTTACTCTAAAGCCATGTCTAGTTTGGCCCTTGTTCTCAATCCAGGAAGTGGCTCTTGTGTTCTTTTTCCTTCTGAATCCATAGAATTCAACACTTCTGGGGAAATGTTGTTGTTGATTTTTTTTTTAATTTAGTATGGAGCTCTTCCAGGAAAGATTGGCATAGCAGGTTTCTTTGCTTCGAAGGAGTTTTCCTCATGCAGTAGAACTCACTAAAGATCAGCCCATGGGCATCATGTTTCTACGGAGACCCAGTGACGTCCCCCACATCTTGTTCAACAGTACAATGCAGTGCTATGCACAGTAAAATGGATCATAATATCATGAAACTTTCTTTTCATTCTCTTTCTTAAGGGGAAAAAAAGAACAAGAAAACAGGAGGGGGAAAAGGAGCAGAATACTTACAAAGCCATACTCCAAGTCCCAGCACCAGCAGTAATTGAAAAACCTGACAAAGACAGCTTTTAGGAAATCTCCAATTAAAATGGTGATGTAGGTCGTCACAGTGTCAGAGACTGTTAGCCGCACAAATTCCTGCAGAAACAATGTTTTCCTTTTTTTAGATGCAGCAGTGCATCGGACTGGCTTTTCTATTGGCAAACGCCTAAAGAGCAACCTCACAACTAACTTAAGCCCCTTTCATTCCACTGGGTAGGACTAACCTTGGATAATGTTTCAGACGCGTCACTTGCATACTTTACAAGAACTGTAGCTTCTTTGCAAATAAAATATCTTGTCGGCAGGGTTGTCTTACAAGCAGTCTCTGGTACACCCTTCACTTCTCTATAATATTTTAAAAATGCAGATTCAAATGCATTCATTCCACCTACACTTTGCCTGCTACCTTTCAGAAGCGATTAAACTGTGTGTGCGGTCAGGGACGTGGAACCGCTGAATCGCAGCTCAGTGAATATTGAGGGAGCTGCATTTCCATGGTGGGTGGCACTGAAGACAAAAAGGGCAGGGCCAAAATGCCAGAATGATTTAGCTTAAAGCTTTTACTTCCGGGAACTAAGCCGTAGGGGAGGCGTTTTGAATAGGAGAGACACGGCACAAAAGCTGGGCGAATACTCAAAGATGGGTGGGCCTGGGGAAGAGTATGTGGCTTTCTGGGGACCCCCTGCCTGGGACCCTTGGAGGGCCAGGTTTGGCTCCAGCCTGAGGTTCCACATCCCCAGCACAATGTCATGGCCAAGCAAGACACGTAAGGATCATAGGGAGAGCACAGGAATCACTCAACATGGAGAGACCATTTTCAGTAATGCCTCCCGGGCATATTCTGACTTGTACAATGGTCTGAATGAACATGGTTGGATCATATCAGACACCTGTACAGCTGAGCACAGCCCGGACTCCATGAGAAACCGTTCTGTCTTAATCAGCAGAAAACACTTGGACCAGCCCTACTATCAGGCCCATTCAGGACTGGAGCTCTGGACCGGCAGAGTAGCAAAATATTGTTGCTATTTTTTCCGTTTGTGAGGATTACCAACTGAAAGATGAGCCCATGTTGTGCGCATATTCACTACTGTGTAGTTCTGGACATAATGAAGGGTGGGGCAAGAAGCTACGGTCATCAGACGATTTTCTCAGGAATATAAACATGCAAGCATCATTCAAAAGTATACCTGCCTTACCTGACCAACCATAGTTTCCCAGCAGGGGCCTCTTGGGACATCTGCGGGGTTCACTTGGATAGGAAAAGCGGTGGTGTTTTCTGGGAGACTCCCATTGTATAGATTGGCCAACCAAATGGTCATATTCTGCTTTACAATCTTCTCTTCTTCCAGCTAGGGAAAAGTAAACATGATTTTATTCCCCCTGACTTCAATAGCACGATTCCTACTAGTTAATATCACACAGCAGAAGTAGACTAGGGTTCTAGCTAGGAAATGGACAATAAACCAAAAAGACCAAAGTTCAGGTGATTTCTCTAATGAAATCAGTAGCCAACCTTAAGAAAGCCACACTTTTGGTCAACCCCCAGTTCATTATGTACAACATGGGAACAAGTAGGCTGGTGTATCTTGAGAATATTCATACTGAATAGTACCTTAGACAGGTATTGGAAGGATCACTGAGATAAGGGATCAAAAACAACTGAGAGGTTTATGGCAGCTTAAAGACCAACACCAAGTTGACTGGAGCCCACTTTGTCAGATTCTATCTCTCTCTCTCTCTCTCTCTCTCTCTCTCTATCTATCTATCTATCTATCTCACACAGATACATATTCATACACCCATCTGTCAACTGAGGATAACAACTCATGCATCTAATTAAGTGGACTCAGCTTCACTGTATTTTATACCCTTGTGTTATTCTTTAACCTGCCAAAAGACACTTCCTCATTTATTTATTTTTTAGCAACATAAACTATCTGGAAATAAGATACTATATGCAAAGCACCTGCTGTAAAGCATTATGCTAAGATATTATTAATAATAACCCTAATAATTGCTATTAGATGTCCATCTTCTTCCTGCAAAAAACGTTTCTCCCTGCTAGCTAGGATCTGTTTGTGTAGGCTTCTTATTAAGTAATACAGAATAATTGAAAACATTTTGTCTCCAATTTGGGGGTGCTTCCAGATACGTGCTTTCTTGCACCATTGCTCTGCCTCATTTACATATCTTTTTTCAAGGGCTCCATTTTCAATTTGCAGTCCTCTCACATCTTCTCACCACTTGTTCCATCTCTTTTTCTCATTGCAAAAAACAAAACACAACAAAACAAAACCACAACCCCCACTCAGGAGGTAAAAAGAAGATAGTTGCACAATATCTTTTGACTGGGAGTGCTAGAAGTTGCCTGCTTGGAAGCGCCTCAGCTTCTCTTGCCACTGCAACACATTAAACTCAACTAACATGTTTCATTGGTTTCATTAGAATTTATTCAACAGTCTTGACTTCAAAACATCAGACTGGTAGAACCCGCTTCTTCCTTGCCTTGAGATTGATTTCGTCCATGAGAGCAATGATGAATGTGTATAAGTTTCCCAGGAATAGAGCAAAGATGCGTCCCAGCTGCCATCGGAGGGCTATTCGAGGATGATAGTTTTCCAGGGCACTGATGACATCAAATAATGTAGGGCAGAACATTCCAAGAAGGGACATGACCATGTTTACCTGTCCAGGTTGAAACAAGGTTTTAAAAGATCCATTACATGCTCAGAAGTTACATTTAATACATCTAGTAGTCAAACAAAGTTGATATTAAAGCTTATTATCTGTAGCAAAAATATGGGACTAGATTTAAGGAAGGGATGGAGAACACTCTTGAGGTTAGGTAGGAGACCAAATGACCCCCCCCCCCAAGTTCTTCAGACCAGTTAACCTAAAATAATCTTACAATCTTTCTGAGATTATTTAGTAAGGAAGATACTTTAGGGTTATGGATTGTTTGGGAGAGTGGCGCAGCTATACAACACAAAGAACAATTTGTTCAGTTTTACTCAAGAATATGGGATTCAGCCTTGATGGACAAATTTACCAAACACATTCAGGAGTCTGATGGACAAACACAACTAGAAGGGCCTGAAGCAACAAACCAGATGTTGTCCCCCTCCCATTCCATGTACAAAAGCAAAGTGAGTTGAATCTGACATGGGACAACATCCTCCACTGCACTTGAAGGCAACAAGCTAACTTAGAAGGTGCAGAGAAGTCTGCCTGGTACACAGCTCTGTCCTGCAAGGTCTTGCTGCCACCTTTCAGCATCTGTCACCTGAAGCAACTGCATCATAGAAACATAGAAACAGAGCAAGTCAGAAGGGGACTCCTGGGCCATCTAGTCTGACCTCGGCACCAGCCAGCTCCGCTCACGACATGCCCACCATGTGGACCACCATCCTCCTGGTTAACATGATAATCACTCATGCTTCATGTCAAGGGCAGCCCTGACAGTCAGTCACATTTATTGAAGGGTAGATTATCTATCATTCCTTCTTCCACACACAATTTCTCAAGCCAAGGCAGATCTTTCTGGAAGGACAATTATGAATTTTGTATGATTAGTAATTTTGTGAAGATCTGTCTTAATTGTGGGGAGGGGGGGTCAATTGTTGTTATAGGTTTGTATTGTTCCTTCAGGTCTCATTTGGATTTCTGTTTTAATTTTTCTTGATTTAACAACATTATTTATTTGATTTAACAATATTATCATCATTAAGTTACAATTTTAAAAAGCAGTAAAAGTGTTGGGGGATTATTCTCTAAATTGATTATAACAGCACTAATAAACATTCTTCCAAATTAAAACCCTACATTTGTGTTTGGGATGGATGGATGGATGAATGAATTGATCCTGTCAATAATTAGTCATCTACACCCTAGCAACAGTGAACCAGTAACAATACCTCTTTTTGAGGTTAACCCCATCAAGAACAACCTTTAGTGCTAGACTGTGTCAGCTGGAAAATTATTGTCTATAAAGCCATTGTGATATCTCAGCTTCTAAGCAACCATGTTCTTTTTAATAAACAAGGCTGAGATCACAGCCAAGTCTAAACTCTAGCTCTAACCACTCTCAAGCATGCCAGCTGCATAAAGAATGCTTAATCCTGACTGCTTGCCATTAAAATGATATATTCATTACGAATGAACAGTTTAGTGCATATAAATCATGCTTTCCCTACCCACGTTTTGTGCAGTAATAACAGCCTTGTCTAACATCCCTGCTGCAGAAGGCAACAATAAAACACTATCTTTCGTGCAAACATATTTTCATTTTTACATAATTAGCAGAATAATTAGAGGGACGGGATTATTTATTCATTGTAGTCACAAAACTTACATAGAATTCTAAATGAGGAGTGGCTGAGACCAGAATTCTATGCAAGTTTAGGCAGAAAAAGGGTCTGCAGTTCCCAGATGCCCCAGCCAAGGAGTTGAAGGGCTTTTTTTTCTGCCAAATTTGCACCTTAAATAGCTCAAGACCTCAGCACACAGTTTTGGAAATACTGCAGTCCCTTTATCTACTACAAGCTCAATATATTTGAAAGATCCACTCATATGATTTGAAGCTGCTACCCTGTGTATTTATTGAGTTTTTCTCATGTTTAAGCATTTCTATCATGACTTGAAATCAAAAAATACAGTCAATTTACAATAAATAACTGAGTAATATCAATATACTGATTTTTAAGAATCCGTAATGCACCATTTGATAAAATATCAGTACAACAGCATGCTAAAATGCAAAGAAGCACAGCAAATTAAGATGCAAGAACTCTAAAAATAAACAAGACACCACACAGTTACTGTTCATCAAAGCACTAGGCAATTTCTTTTCAGCCTTGATCATGTGTGAAGCAGAATGATCTTAACACCAACAAAAACTAGCTGAGGGAAGGGAACAGGGGAAGCGCTCCTCTGCCAGCAAAGAGAGGCTCCACCAATGGGATGGCCTGACCTGTCCACCCGAGAGATGCCAGGCGTTCCCCCAGAGCGCTCCACAGTGCAGGCTCAGGGGTTGTGAGGCATCTGTGGGCAAGGCAACCTCCGTGGGCCCCTCCCTCATGAATGGGCCCCCTCACAGCTCCATTGCTCCTCATCCTCTTTGTCGCTATGGGCACCCTGTGTGTGCCTGGCATGCAAAGAGCCAACCAGCAACAGCTGTGGAATGGACTGCCAGGAGAGACGCGTCTGATTTCCCAAATTCCCACCTCTAAGGGGGAGTTAAAAACATCTCTCTCCCAACTGGCCTTCCCAGATTTGTTCTCATGCCTGTTTTATTTAGTATGTTGTCTTAGTCAATACTACTCACTGCTGGTTTTACTTTCCTCTAAACCACCCAGAGCCTATGGGAATGGGGCGGGATATAAAGATAAAGATAAAATAACCAGGCAGGCAGACCATGGGCAGCTCCTGCTTCTCCTTCTCAACTCCACTGTGGCCACAGTGAGGGGCCTGTGAACAAGCAGGTCGCCATGCTAAAAGAGGAGTCGGTCCAGTAGCCTTGCCAATGGGGTGCTGATCCCTTGGCTGGTGCCCAAGGCCGCCTGCCCTTTGTCCTTGGCATGGCTCCCTCTCTGCATGTAGGACATTAAAACCAGGGTGGCTTCAGCTGAGGTACTGGGTTTGGATCAAGCAAATCCTGCCTCGTGGAAGGGGCCTATCTGAGCTTGACAACTTTCAACCACTCCACCGTTACAGTTCCATAACTGCTTTCCTGAGCTCAGAGCCCTCTACAACTTCCATCTTTCCCATGCTGCCTGGGGATTATGGGAGTTGTAGTCAAATGTATCTGGTGGAACCCAGGTTGGGAAAGACTGTATACAATATCTCTGCCTGAGAATTCACCGGACTCTTTCTGTCAGTCCACAGACACTGTTTTCCTCCACCGAACTGGACAGCAGCTTGTCTATCCCATATTTAGCTGATGAGTCTGAGATGTGGGCCTTGATGTATGCCAACTGTGGCTCCCAGAACCTAGAAACCATTTGGGGGGGGGGGTGTTCCTTGATTATACATGTGTAAAATCACCAGGACACAACTTCATTCTATAAAACTTTTCTTCCAATCCCTTAAGACAGTTAAGCCCTCACTTTTACTTCATGGGAGGTGGGAAAGGCCAGGGATGTGGATCTGATCCCAGCCACATGGGCTGCAGGAGAGTTTACAGCTACTGACGTGGCGTCAGCTTATGTACAGTAGACAAATGGACTCTTTGATGCAGGTCTTCCAAGTCTGTTTAATACAAATCCAGCAATTGCACAGGTCTTTTGCTTCCAAAGTCAGATCCCTACCTTGAGCCGCAGTGCTTAAAGTCACACCTAGAGGAGGAAGCCACTAAAAGTGCTCAGGTCCCAGCCAAGCCAGAGCCTTTCAGTTGAGAGCCGTTTTAGTCTCCCTAGTCAGTTTTGGAATTCTCATTTCTGGGTCCTCTTCCCAAGCGGACTGCACTGCACTCTGGTCATACCAAACTAGATAACACGTTTGCTCCACTTATGGCAGCTGGAGAGCAGTGGCAAACAGTGTCACATCAATTACAATTTGGCACATTTCCACATGCAAAATTGACTTTATAGGAAATTGGCAAAAACATTTGTTTGGCAGACCTGGATGGACAGATCAATATTTTTTGCCGTTTTTCACTTTGCATGCTAAAATATAAATTGGCAGCTATGGTGCTATAGCAATATATGTAACCAAACATTTGAATCCAGGTTTGTTCCTGCTGCTCTTACAGCTTTAGGACCGCAAGTATTATTGGAAGTACTGATCAAGGCTGAACATCAGCCTACAATTGAAGTGTATGAATTTCTGGTAAACATGATAACTGGGATCTCAACCAAGAATGGAGTATATGAACTGGAACCATTTATATCAATAGAGAGATTCATTATTATTTATTTTGGAAGGAGACATGAATCTTATGCTGAGTTTTATTCAGTAAAAGTTGATGTTTTGAGTTCATTGGATGCCAAATTCCTATGATAATGACTTAATTAAATCAGCCAATTTTTGGAGTGTAATTCTGCTGATGCTTCTTTGTTCAGATGTTTTGGCAATGTCCAATGGCAGCTTCCCTTTGGAAGGAAGTAATAACCTGGACAAATCTTATGATGAAAAGTAATTTAATATTTACGGATACATGTCTTTTTGGATTATCTACCCATCTCTTGGAATTTAATGCAGGGTCAATGCAAATCTGGACCCTTTTAACAGCTAAAAGTCTAACATTACAACACTGGAAGGATAAATGGCCACCTGAAATAACACAATGATGGAAGATTTAATAAATAGGTGGCTTTTATGCACAATCTACAAATGGATAAATGCATGCATATTTTGGCTGCCTTTGTTGAAGTTTATGCATAATAACTTTCAATAATGGTAGTTTATTCTATTATATACTAGTAGAGGAATATATAATATACATGTCACTAGTGGTGTGGATCTTTTTTAATCTTATGCAAATATTATGAAGTTTTAGCTTCTTTTAACCTCCCCCCTTTTTTTTTCTTCTCTAATGGTGTGGTTTAGTTTGGTTTGGTTTGGTTTGGTTTGGTTTGTATAATGTACAATAAAAAAATAAAAAATAGTCTGGATCAATATAACAAATAATAGTAATTGTGAATTTCTGTATATCCACTATGGAATGGGACACTGCATAACTCATAAGAGCCTGGTACAGCTTAGCATAAGGGAGGACAAACAGATAGATGCAATGGACATCTTCTGCAGCTCAAATTTAGTTTTACAATCAACCTGCAGACCCAATTCCCCCGACTAATCAATGTGACTCTTGTTAATAAATTATGGGAAAAGATTGTGATTTACTTTCGATCAGTTTGTTTCCCAACCCAAAGTGATGGGTTCTTCTTGATGAGACTTTTATGGTGCCCATGGAAGTTTACAAGGAGTCCAGGCTTCAAGAGCTGGACCCTCTCCCCCTACAAAAGCCCCTTCAAAGATGGTGGATACAGATTCTGACTCGATGAAGAAGAGAGACAAGAATCTGCAGCTGAAATGCCAAGGCCTGCAGACTCAAGGGTAAGTTAGACACAGTCAGACAGTCTCAAATTCTGAGGTAAAGTTCAGTGAGAATGCGAATGTGGGTGGCGGGTGGATGCAGCATCATTTATCCAAGGCAACACCATCAGATTACGAGGGCTGACCAGGTGAGAAGCACCAGATGTTCCAAGCAATTAGCCACTAAGCAGAAGAATCTGCCTTGAAGGTGAGGTTTGCTTTTTTTAGTTGGACGGGAAGAGGCATATTTAGATTAGAATCAGCTTCTTATCATTAAGTCACATTTCCCTAGTGGCCAGTATTTGAACTTTGCTTGTTTCTTTTGTTATTGATTTCTGCAGTGCTCTTCTGGATTACTAAACCTCCTGGCCCGCTTTAATATAATAAAATCTTTTGGGAAGAAAACCTTTGTCCTGGCCTGCTAGAAGGGAAGGAAGAGCAATGGCCAGGAGGCAGGCTTCATTGTCTTCTACTTGTGATCCTCTTGTGTTTTCCTGCTATTTCTTCTGTTTGTGTTTTATTTTTCCTCTTAATCCAGAATGTCTGTTAAGGAGGAAAAGCTGGGACATCTGCCCAGTGCCTTCTAATTGCTAACACTAGGAGTCCTCCCTGCAGAAGCACCCCTCTGACTCTAGACCCATGTATTCTAATTACATCTATTTTAGACAGCAAAGCATGCTGGAACGAACTTCATTTCTCTCCCACCATCCATAGTTTTCAAGGCCTTCCAGAGCAAACTTCTGAGATCGCCTCACAACAAAGTAGATGAGATAGCCACTTCCAGCCAGTGTGCACAATGCAAAGAAATTAGCAAGAACCCTCAGGAATCTGGTCAGATGAATGTTCTCCTCTTTACGACTCTCTTGTTCCTCCACAATTGCTTCCTGTATTTATTAGGAACAAAGAAGAAAATATTTACTTGAAAGTAAACAAACTGTGAAGAATCACAGCAGCAGCCTTAATAATCTAGGTCCAAATATGCCAAGGACCATCTTCTCCCACAAGTTCCTGCCAACTCATTTTGGACGTTGTAGAAGGATTTGCTTTATGTCATTCTCACGGAGAAGTCTGGCTGGCCATGACATGGGGCAAAGCCCCACCTCCAGCCCCACCCACATGGAAAGCCGAGTGGGCTTCCTTTCTCATGGCCTTTAGGGGAAAAATGAAGACATCCCTGTTTTTTCCAGACATTCGGATTCTTCTAAGCCTGCTGCTCATTTTTCTCTAGCTTTCAAATCTCTAATGCTTTTTGTAATTTCATTGTTATGATTTTATGGGCATTGCATTGATTATTATTTTAATATTTGTAATCTTTATTATTGTACTTTTAGTGTCTTGTGAGCAAGCTAAACTGCAGAACCAAGATTAGTAAATTAATAAAAAGAAATTCTTGTGGTAGGGTTGCAGATGGTTTGGCGCTATGGTACTCTGCCATAGTAATATTTTATGTTCCTTTGTTGAATGTTCAGCTTTCACTTGGAAAATTAAAATGACTCTAGCTGTCTTCTGGAAATATGCAGAGAAATGTGCACTCCTTTTCCATTTTGTTTGCTCAGTCAGAGCAACAGATAAATCTGCTCCCACCTTCATGTCTTCTGTCCAGTGAATGAAAATGCCTTGGAATGATTCGGAAGCAACTGGGCACTAGAAAGTTTAAATTTTATTTAACTTATTTTAAAAATGGAATAGAACTATATGAACCTACCTTATGATTTTGCTCTTTGTAATTGTTTACAATACAAAAATATAGGCTAGGAAAGTTTCAGGAGCTGTTGACCACATCTAAAGTATGGATGTGGAAATCTAGCCAGAATCTGGCTGTCTTGAAAGAGACTTGTTTTAGACTTTGGAATTTTCAACCATTTCAGTATGTGATGGCAATAATACTGCTATCAATTTTTTATTTTACTTAATCTTCGAACATATGAATGCAGAAGGATCACAAGGAAAATGTGGGGCTTTGGATCTGGAGCCATAGACCTTTCCAATGGAGAGAAGAGGAGGAACAAATGAGAAGACAATGGACAAAAATAAATTAACTTTGCATCTTTATTGCACCATAAACCCTGTGTTAAGGGGCTACAAACCACCCTTTACTTGCACTATGGAAGGAGATCACTATTATGTATTCCCAGTAATATCACTTTTACAACTCTTTAACCCTGCTGATGCTGGGATATTATTCAATGTTAGATATCAAACTGAGCAAGCAGTGGGTCATATATTACCTTAAAACTTGTTGTGATTGATGCAAATTTGTTATCTGCTGTTTCAGGATTGCCAATCAAGTAATCCCAACTGGTGAACATTTTCCAGCTGAAGTTAAAACTTGTATCATCACCACCGCCATCATCATGTGCATTCTTTGCCATTCTGAAAAGGTCAAAAATATGGTTATTTTAGAACATGATATTTGCAAACCAATCTATTAGGTATTTCTGAGAATACCTTAGCTGAGAGATGGGAAGCAAAGCTCTAGTATAGTTATAGGACTGTCCAATGATTAAACATTTTAGCTAGTTAACCAATTGCCTTTGCCTTTCCTAAATTAATTTTAAATAATTAATTACATTTGCCTATTGCCAGAATTTTAATATATAGAAGTGTCCTTTCTGAGACATTGAAGTGAGCATAAGATAAGTTACAATTTAATATCAAAAGCCCTAGCGATACATTGGGGCCTGTCGATCAAAAAGTTTAAAGTTGAGTATGCAATCCTATGATGCTGGGAACAATTGATGGCGAAGGAAGAGGGGGACAGCAGAGGATGAGGTGGCTGGATGGAGTCACTGGGGCAGTGGGCGTGAGCTTAGGTGGACTCCGGGGGATGGTGGAGGACAGGAAGGCCTGGAGGAATGTGGTCCATGGGGTCTGATGGCTCAGGCACGACTTTGCAGCTAAACAACAACAATGCAGTCCTATGCCAGTTTAGACAGAGGAAAGGCCTACAATGCCCAGCATGCCCCAGCCAGCCATGATGGGAGCTGCTTGCATTTTTTCTGTGCAGACTTGCATAGGATTAGCAGATTAATCTATGGATTAAACAAACATGGGCTGAAAAACTATGTTTACTTTCCTAGGAAGCAGCTCTGCTGAAAATGGTGGAACTTAGCACTGAGTAAAGGAACATCAGGTGTTCTCTTATCCCACGTCAGACCTTTGTCCAGTGTTGTCCGCTCTGCATGACAGCAGCCCTCCAAGGCAGAGTTCTTCCCCACTGTTTGCCACCTGATTCATTTAAGTGAAGCTGCTGCCAGGGACTAAACAGGACCATCTCCATGCAAATTTGGTGCTTTGCCAAGGTGCCACAGTGTCTCTGTAAAGCACTGGCCTGAACTACACAGTGGGCACATTCACACGTCACAGCAACCCAGCCTAGCAATAAGCCAAACAAGCCGGTTGTTGTGCAAACAACCAACTCACAGAGCACTCAACGGACAATCGGGTGCATTGTGGGTTGTTGCTCCCCTCCCTCCCTTTCCCATCCGATTAGTCTTCCTGTGATTTCCTGGGGGGGGGAGCTATCTCCCCCCATTTGAACTTTACTTTTCTGGAGATAGCAAAAGCTGGCTTGACAGTCCTTATTCTGGCAGCTACACATACTCCCTTCAGCATGCTGTGGTGCTAACGTGGAAGGGCTCTCTGTGGCCGCTGAACATTTTTTAAAAGAAATGTCTGTACCCCCTAATCTTCAGTAGTATTTGCAATTTCAAAAAGTCCCACACTCACACAATTGTAGACATCCCAGCTGTGTAAGTGTAGGAAGGGAGAGCACTGGGTGGACAATCTGCCTCCGGACAATGTCCAGCAGATCGCCCACCCAGTAGTCATTGCCCTGTCGATGCTGCAGGTGAAGCTATTTTCTCCTTTGGTTACATACATCGGATGTGAAAAGGTCACTGTCAAATTAAATGGAAGTCATGAGTGATCTTAGCTCATGAAAAGGGAGTAGTGGCTCATTCACTCAATTTATGGTCAGAAGGAGACGCTCCACTCGTGTGTCCTGAGTATTCCCTCAGTTGTGCATTTATTGTCACTATTCTATCACCTCTGGGACATGCAAGAACACAAGCCTCCCATTTACAAGAATGATTACTCTGCACAGCTGTCAGAAATAAAACTCCATTGAAAAAGCGAGATTTAGCAAGAGTTTAAAAATGGGGTGGGGCACTATAGCAGCATATAAACTCCATATTGCTTCTAACAGGTAATTCTGTTGAAGAGCTCCAAAGCAGAAGGACAGGAATGCTGACGGCCGAGCAATGCTGTCATGATTTCTGTCAGTGTAATGTCAACGCCATTCGCCTTTGCCTCTGTTCTGCTATCTAACTGGGCGATTGAGAGAAATAGCCAGCCAAACTTGCCAGTACATTTGGGCTTTTGCACTTATCATATTGTTTTCTGTGAAATCATCAACCCACCAAAGAATATAAGAGGATTTACTGTTAAGGTTATCTAAATATAGATCAAGATTATCTTGTGTCCAGATGGAAATTCAGCACATACAGAACAGCTTCACCCAAGGGTATTCCTTTTGTTTTGCCTTCAGGGATTGTGCTGGAAAGATTAAAAAACCGAAACAAAAAGGAAATCGGGAGACTGGCAGCTACTCAGCTGCGATTCCCTGAGAGGATTCTCCAGGAAGAATCTTCACAAATGCAGTATCAAAGACATTTTTAATGGCTCTATCATAAGTGGGTCAGTAATATGTAACTTGTGCGGTGAATTTATTTATATGTTGCATCTTAATCAGACATACTGGGGGGGATGGGGGAAGGACTGAAATAAATAGCCTCTCGTTGGCCTGAAAACATTGGTCAGTCAACCTAACTGTCTCTCGATTGTCTGGTGCTAATGGCCATAGCCGTATCCTGTGCTTGTCCGAACTCATCCTCTCCATGCTTGTATGGCCAGGGCAATGGTGCACAAGCACTGACCTAGAGCCCGCATGTACCCCAGTGCCTTTCCTGAACCTAAATGTGAACCAATGCATGGGTAGGGTACACTCCAGTGGGGCTGCTCACAGGCCCCTGGGCTGGGACTCACCCCTCTCCAACTTTCCAAGGGCCCATGTTTTTGGATTCCGAGTGGGTAAGAGGCCACTGCCCACCGTTTCCCATCAAGGTCACTGCCTGCAGTTTCCCAGGTGAACTGTGGAAGCAGGCATGTTTTGGAAGAGATAGAGGTGGCTTGGGAGAGGAGGGAGAGCCATTTCCTTGCCAGGTCCCTGACCCCATGAGGAAGCACTGGGAGAGACAAGTGTCCTAGTTAGAAGGCTTGTGAGGGTCTTGCCAGCTAGCAGCTAGATCCACCCAGAGGGTGGAGCCTGTTGTGTGAATGAAAGACTGGGGAGAAGTTTCCAGTTGAGGTTCCACACTCACCCACTACATGAGCAGAGGCTATCATTCTGCTTGCTAAGGGGCCATTGTCTCGTTAGCTGTGAAGTGCCAATAAAGGTCTGCATTATAAAGGACTGCCTGGGCGGGGCTGGACTGTCTGGGAGCCTCGAGCAAGAACAGCATCCCATAGAGGCCAGGAGGAGTGCAGGGGGGACCTTTGCCTCCCTGATCCTCCTGCCCTGAATTTTGACTGGATTGCCAAGTAGCTGGGATGCTTTGGACAAAGAGGCTGGAGTGCCATGAGCAGATGCCCCATCCAAGCAGACCCAGCCCCTCCCTGCCTCCTCGGTGCCCTCCTTACCACTTTCTCAGCTTGGCCTTATGAAATTGCAGAAGCAGAAGCAGCCAACTGGATTCTTTCCATGCCAGCTGGGGGAGAAGAGTGATCCAGTTGTGGCTGGACCTCTTATCTGATGTCATTGCTAGGCATCTGAAAAACCCTATGCTTTTCCAGAAACTGTTGAGGGGTCACTGGATCACTCTGCCTGGTACTAAAATCCAAATTTTCCTGAGGTTTGCAATGCAGTTCACACACACAAAAATGCATGCATTCGGAGCAACAATACATACATTTGAAAGAGTGTATAGAAAAAATATGAATTTGGGAAAATGCATACAAAAATACTATTCAATGAAAGTCAGTTACAAAACAATGCACACATTTGGAAAAAGTAGCCACAAAAATGTGTACATTTGAAGTGCATTCTGGACAAAATATGTGCATCTTTTGGAAATGGCTCATAAATATGTACACATGCTGATTGGACAGAAAAGAAAAAGAAAAATCTAGCTTAATAAATTAGCTCAGGGTACCCAACTCTTTTGGATCCATGGGTATATGTGGGAATTTGAGAAATTACTGTAAGCACCACTGCAAAATGTCTAATCAGTGGTTGCTACTGTGGCATTTACGTCTATGGATCTTAAGTTTTCTTATTCAGCAAAAGGGGAAGGGGAAGGGGGAAAGTCTAATGATGGTTGGACCATAATAGACTATAATGTCTCTTTAATAAGGGATTTCCAAGTCACCTAAATGCTAGCAATGTAATACAGCTAATGGTTCTTTTAAATGAAGACGGTATGAATAAGTGACATCCAGAGACCAACTTCAAATGGATACTTATCAGGAGATTTTGACAGCTTTTGTTGAAGCCCAGATATGCGTAGGTGCTAGAGAGTTGCATGCATTCCATACAAATCCATATATTTATAATGAAATAATAACAATTTTGGGGAACCCTTCGCAGACTCTACTGAAGGTGCCATGGGTGTCGTGTTTGTATTTATTTAATTAATTTCTATGCCACCCAACACCCGAAGCTGTCTGGACGGTTCACAGCTCTGGACTCACCCATTCCCAGCTACGGCCAAAGTGACTGTGCAACCAACCTCCTTCTTCCCAGTCTGTGGCTGGTCTTATCTTGTGAACATAGGCAGCAGGGCTTGTCTATTCAAACTGGCAGCTCTTGTGGGCTGCACGTTATCACGGTTTGCGGCCTGTCTTGGGTTCCCATAGGCACCCATTCTGTAACCCAATCTCACAGGTTGTATAAATACAATGGGGACAGGTTGTTGGTCCAGTCAGCAAACCGTTCACAACCCTAAAGTAGCCCATGGGTTCAGCATGTCAATAACCTTCCCTCTCCTGTTCAGATGACATGACAACCTATGAGCGTGTGTGTTATGAAATAGACAGCCACGGGTGCCCAACACATACCACAAATCACAAAGGCTTATTTAGAGTGCTGTAGGCGGCAATGAGCCTTCAAGCTTGGTTTTCAAGGGGAAAGCACAAGCAGAGATTATGCTTTCTCCCACAATGCATTAATTCTTTGTACAGCTGCTGTTACTAATGCTTGAAAACAACTGTGGAAGGAAGCACAAGATGAGCATTATGATCTTGCAGACTTATGCTCCTCTGCATGTGTTCATCTCCTTCCCCCTCCTCCCAGAAAAAAGAGGAACAGTTGTAATTTCTGGATGTTACTTGACACTACGGTAGATGGAAAGCTTTACACATTTATTTCACACTTCTTTGCGGTGCAGGAAACGTGAAGCTATTTTAGTAAAGGTTCTTTCCCCAACTCTACCAGACTGTGAAATTCTTTCCACTATGAATAAATAAACAAATAAATATTAGCCTTAAAATGCTAATTCAGGATTTCCTGCTCAGCTTCTAGTATCCCACCCCCTATGTAGCTAATGCTCATCAGTTCTGCAAGGAAAGTATATTAAATACAACCATTTTCGCAAAAAGCCCTCAGTAAATCTTCCCCTTTGGATTTCCACTGTGCTGATACTGGAAAGGAGCTATATCTGAGTTTTAGTCTTTAAAGAACTGGTGAGTTCTTTATTACAATAGCATTTAAAAGTCTCATAGCTAACTTTATGCATTTAGTTTTTAAATCACCATGAACTGCCAAATGCCTCAGGAATGGAACAAGAACAGAGTCAGTGTAGTGTATCAGCTAGGAAGAAGTGCATTTTGGGATTATTTGGTTTTTTAAAACACAATAATGGATTGTAATTAATTTAAAGGTGCCATTTGTTTGAAGCCTGCAGTACTAAATTCATTCATTAGGTGGCAGTTTTCTCAAACCAACATATATTTTTGCATATGTTGTGAGAGAAGTCCAGCTCTGGAGCCAAAATTCTACTGACTGGCTTGGTTTGGCTTCCCAGATTCTGGCTCATCAACCCAACACTAGCATCAACTCATTTTGGCATGAGACAGGCCAACTCACATTTTTAAAGAACTGCCCAGAAAACTTCGGCTGTTGGCAGTATAGAAACTAAATAAATAAAGCAGGAAAATTTGGGTAAATTTCAGCTGCAATTAGTGTAAATGCTTGGTCCATTTTGCACAAAATTCCAGCCACAACTCATAATTCTGGCCACAGTTTGCACAAAGAACAGCTGGAATTTACACAAAACTCTCTAGCTTTAAAAATGTTCAAATCAATGCCTGTTTTAGAAGTGAATGCTGCAGATAAACACACAACCAAGAAAACTTGCAACTTGGCCTACTTTCAGTTCTCAGGTTAGCAAGCTCTTGAAAATGTGCTGAATGCAAGCAGGTTGAGTTTCTTAGAGTTGCACATTCAGACGGCTTGAAGCTGGATTTAGTCCCACTGGGGGTTAGAATGGTTAGACTCCTCTCTCTGGGGCTATAGAGATGCCCCATGATGGGCCCTGAGCCCAGAAGTGCCAGCAACTACGGCTTCACTTGGAAGGGCCAACTGTGCTAGCTCTGCCCTATGGCAACTATGTCATGGGGTACCACAGGGCTCCAGCTTATCCCCCTTTCTTTTCAACATTTACATGAAGCTGTTGGAAGTGGCCATCAGGGGGTTTGGGTCGAAGTCTCATCGGTATGCTGATGACACTTAGTTCTACCTCTCATTTTCATCAAACCAGGTGAGGCGGTGAGGGACCTAAACCAGTGTCTGGCTGGGGTGATGGGCTGCATAACGGCCAACAAATGGCAACTTAATCCAGACAAGACTGAGGTTTTGTTGGTAGGTGGGCTTCCATGTCCAGATGGAAAATATTGGCCCTGCCTTGGATGGGGTTGCACATGGACGGGGAAGGACAGGGTCTGGAGCTTGGGGGTGCTTCTGGAACCTGAGCTGTCCCTGGAGCACCAGGTTGGCTCAGTGGCCATGAGTGCCTTCTATAAATTCAGACTAATTTGTCAACTTTGACCATATTGGGACAGGCAGGATCTAGCAACAGTAATCCATGCCCTGGTAACCTCTCGGATGGACTGCTGTAATGTACTCTATGCCGGGCTGCCCTTGAAAATGGTCCAGAAGTTACAGTTGGTGCTAAACAGAGCAGCTAGGCTGCTGACAGGGACTGGTAGTACCAACCATATTACACCAGTTGGCCATTGACATCTAGGCCCACTTCAAGGTGCTTGTTGTGACACATAAAGCCCTAAATGGTTTAGGACCTGAATATCTGAAAGAACATCTCCGTCCATATTGGCCTACCTGGACCCTGAGATTGTCATCGGAGATGGCATGGCTACCTGAAACAGGGTCTTCTCAGTTGTGGCACCCCATCTGTGGAATCAACTTCCCAGGGATGCTCATCAAGTGCCATCCTTATACATATTCCAGTGCTAGACTAAGACTTTTTTTTATTTAAGGAGCATTTTAGTTATTGATTATTTTTATTGAAATTTAATTTTAATTATATTTTAATGCAAATTTTACTTTTCTTAATAATAGATTGGAACTATCTCAAATGTCATAGTTAAACTATTATTTTATTTATTATTTATTTATTAAAACATTTCTATGCTGCCCCATTCGCCGAAGCCTCGGGGCGGCTCACAACAGAAAATTAAAATACAAGAAATTAAAATAAGAAATATTTGGTGTCCCTGCTATGACGTGATGCTATTTATGATTTATATTCTGGTTTTAACTGTCTAAATTGTGTTTAACTGTGTTATTTATGATGTTTTATCTTGTTGGTTTTTATCATGTAACTCATCTAGAGAACCATGTGGCTATGAGACAGTATACAGTATGTTAATTAATTAATGTGAAGCAAGGTACCCTGGTTACCAACAAACAAACACAGATTGATCAGTCCACCAAGACATTACTCATTTGTTGGTGCATTCACACCAGAAGAAACGTACGTGCGGATGACAACCATGAAGCTGTAAGCAATAGAGCCAACTCCAACCAAAAAGTAGGAGAGAGGCATCCGGAACTTCAGCCAGCCAATGGTTCTCTGGTTATTGTAATAGCCGTAAAAGAGCACCGAATATTGAGCGAAGCCCTGGAAAGAACAGCAAGTCACAAGTTAGAAACCTTTACATTTTCCCGTAGCATTTCACGGTAGCCCTGGGCCAACTTCAGCCTTGTGGAACCGCTTTGTTTTCGAGTCACCAAGCTGAACAGGGAGCAAAACAGTGGCCAGGAGCCGCACCCAATGACCAACTGCATCCCAGGAGCAAACCATGGAGTGACCCAGAAATGTAGCCTCTGCTGGGGTGGGGTGCGTTTTGCTCTGCTGATACTTCAGCAGTTGGGTGCTGAGCAACCAGAGTTTTGGAATGAGAGAACCCTTTGCTTAATACTATATATTAATATTAAGTAATTGATATTACCCAGAGAAGGGCCTTCTCTGCAGTGGCACCCCAACATGGAATAGGCTGCTCAGAGAGGTTTGCCTGGCACCGACGCTTTATTCCTCTTGGCGCCAGGCAAAACCCTTATTTTCCCATTATTTTAATGCCTAATAGGTTTTGATTGGGTTTTATTATACTGGAAGCATTGGATGTTGTGCTCCATTTCATTTGTGTTGCTTTTATTGTAAAACCATCCTGAGACACTAGTAGTTGGATGGGATATAGAAGTGTGACAGACAGACAGACAGACAGACAGTGTTTAGTCAAAAGTATTTCATTGTCATTGCCAAGACCTGCCTTAGGCTTTTCAGCAGGAACTCCTACTGCTCATGGTCAGCAGGTCAGAAGCACCTGGAAGTCATAAGCGTAGGCACATAGTGCATGAGTGCAGACTCTCAAACCTTGTCCAATTAGGGTCCTGACCTGGCCTTCCGGTATTCTCTGGATAACCGTACATCCTTGTTGCACCTGACTAAGTAGACATGCAAAAGGGGTTGTGCCGCCACTAAAAAGCTCCTCTCTTGTCTACTTGCCCAGCAACCCTCAGAGATGAGGCAGCAAGCAAGCACCTAAAGGCTCGGGCTGGTCCACACAGGAGTTATCCAGGATATTTGGGTAGCGGTGCAGTGGAGCCGGGGCTCACCTGGATGCAGCCCCAACAACTCGTTATTAGCAACGATGCTGACATCGTTCGCCATCCCACCCTCTCAGAATTCCCAGCTGCCTTTCTGTTTAGCTGCACTCTTCATTTTTCCCAGCAACTGTTCTCACTGCAACAACATAAATTGCTCCTTGTTGAATGCAGAGTATATCGAGGTGGCTTGGTCCTACACAGGAGCATTAAGATCAGTTAGCTTTTCAGCACTGCTGGCACTGGCAATGAAAACTGCTGGCCGTGGAGGATGTGGCTGTGGGGGCTGTTGTGATGAGTTCCTGCACTTCAAAGCATACCATTATGCCACTGTGTTCGTGGCTGTAAAGATTAATGCCTGCACTTTAAATTGTGCTCTGAAAAATTAGTCAGCCAGTGCAGTTGGTAGATCAGAATTCTATCCTTCAGACTCTGGACTTCAGTCCATTCTCTTTCAGATGCACCAAAGTTCCAGTTTCTAACTGTCTTTAAAGGCTGCCAGACAGACAACTGGAGCACTGCATCCAGTCTAAACGTAACTGGGGTATAAGTGACTGATGCCAGGTCTGATTCCTCTGGGGAAGGTCATAAGTGAAGCAGACAAAGACTACTGGCTACCACCACAGTCTGGGATCCAGGAACGCCCAAGCATCATAGCTGGTCCTTCAGGAGATGTGGGACTTTATTCAGAATACTCTGTACACCTAAATCCTGATCTGCAAAGCTCCCATGAAAAGCACATCTCAGTTGATGGATTGATTACACTTCTATACCACCCAGTTGCTGAAACTCCCTTGCCTCAAGGTTGATAGAAGAGGGCGAAGGGAAATGAGTGGGTAAACCAATCACCTTTGCTCACCCTGGAGACAATGCGTTGCTTTCCCCATCCTTCCTGGGTGTGGCGCTTTCAGCATACTTATACCCCCTGGAGAATTAAAATGGTAATCTCAAAACTGTAACCCAGGGGGAAGTTCACACATCTTGGTGTGTGTGTGCAGGTAGGAAATGAGTTTAGCGGGAAGGCCTTTCTTGTCATGAGCCTAGAAGCTGGATGGCAAAAAAGTGGAATGACTACCTCATCTGTGCAATTGTCTGGGAATTACCTTCAGCTCAGATGTCATTGTTTCGCTCCCTCTACTTCCCTGAGTGGTAAAAAGATCTAGGGTAGGGTGGCCACTTAAGCTTCACCAAAAAGAGACAAAGAGAGGACACAGACTTGGATACCATTCAAATGATTGCATTGTTTCCCAGTTTGGACATACAGATTAGCAGATACCAATTGGGAAGCAATGACTGTACCTTTAACAGGAATATAGTCCATCACCTTAGTGGGGAAGGCAGTGGCCAAACCACCTGCTCAGTCTGTCATGCAGGTACTAAGAACTGATGGGCAACTGGTGGTCAGAAGACTGTTCTCTGCAAATAGCCCTCTGTAAGGCAGAGCACCAGCCCATTTTAGGGGGTGCAATGCTTACCCTGGTTTGGTTTCCTTTGGAAGGAGCTCACTGGAGACTTATGGGTGTTTCATAATGTTTGTGGGTGTTTTACTTGTGATTTCCCTAAAAATATACATGCCCAGCCACTTGGCCTGCACCACAGGCCTCTCTTTATTAAGAAATGATTGCAGCCATCCTGATTCTATCAACGCTTTTGCCTCTAAAACCCCAATCTTGCAACAATATATTTCAACAGATGCGCTAGTTCCTAAGTGGAGATTAAGCTCTGCATAAGAAATGGTAACATATGTTCTGGGGTTCATCATATGAACCAGCCACTAGATTTTATTCATGCAGTGGATATAACAGATTAACCCTCCTGAGTCAAGGGCACTCTTGATTGATCTGTGCAGCATGTACAGGTCAGGCCAAGCAGGACTTTATAAATCAAAACCAGCACTTGGGATTCTGGCTGAAAATCAATAGCCATAACTAGGTCCACTAAATAATATGCCACTAGGGGATGGATGGATGGATATACAGATAAATACCATACATAAATCATTTTCTAAATGAAATCTTGGTTGCCTTGCAAAATTAAGGAATTGACGGTACGTGGCTGATGAAGGCAAGCAAAAATAATCGACACAGCTGAATATATATTTCTGTCTTTCTGGTTGCCATGACCCACCACTCCCGCTCTATGGAAGACCACTCCTTGATGAACAGGGCATAGTTGCAAAGCTTGCAAGTGGCCATAACAAATTCCAATCAGGCACCAGAGTTCAGCCTGTGCCCTCGTAATCTGCCAATGGTCTGTGGATGACTTGGAAAGGGTTTTAATTGACTGTAGTAATGCAGTGAGGCTTAGTTCTCTCACAAGTGAAATGCATCTATTCCCCTTCCTTCTGCTGTTTAGCTGCTGGGTCTTTCTTAAAAGGAAACCATTAGTAGATTAAAATGTCAATAGGCTAACATCCTTCTGTTTCATTTAATCGCAAGCAGTGCATTTCATATATGTCAGGCTGCCTGAGATGAGTCACCGTGTTTGCCTGTTAAGCCTCATTTGCAGTCCTGGCTGCGGGGGAAATGAAATATTAATACATGACAAGCAAATATTAATAGATTTCTGGTGTAATTATCAATCCGTTTCTTCAATTGCACTGGTACTGACATTGTCTCCGCTGGGGAATTATGGGATTATGAGTTTGTCACTGTTTTAATTATGTGCAGAACATTGGTGCTGTGTGAGAGGCATAGCTGCCACATAACCAGTGGCTTTTGCCTTGCACCAAGCGGTGCCTAAACAATCATTCCCCTGGATTTATGATGATTAGGACCAACCAGAGGCCAAACTAGACATGATGCTAAATGCATCTCCCATGTGGGGGCTTTGCTTTTAATGACTGGCTGGGGGTCAGATGGTGATGGTGCTGACAATTATCTGGATCGCAGCAGGCAGTGAGGGGAAATTTCAGTCTTCCACTCCTGCCTTTGATGCTGTTCTTTGCATTATGAGGAGATTCCCCCATTGGCATGATTGCAAATAGCCGTTTTCAGAGGAAGGATTTTCCTAAGGATGGCCGCAGGAGAGAAAGGGGTTACATTCCCCCTCCCTCACCTGCTCTGATCCTACTATCTGTATTTTAAAAGCCATGCATGGTCAAGATGCATTTAACCTCAGCTCTACTTTGGTTCTGGGTTACTGACTCATAAAGACTGAAACAGGGTGGGAAACGAATCCGCCATGTTTCCCGTCTTTCCTCTGGTCCTTCCTCTCTGCTCTGGTGCATGAACAGCAGGAACCTAACACATTTTCGTAAGAACTCAGAAGGCATAATGGAGTGTAGTTTACCAGTAACACCCTCAGAATGCTCATCTTTATCACATTATTTTGTACACACAGCACAATGCCTGCTTGGTTTTAATTGACCACTTCTGCCTTTATTTATTCAAGTGCCTTCTTGTTCAATATCTGATATTTCCAAAGCACTTTTGATTTCAGAATAACGACTGAAGCCCTTATTAGATGCTGTCCTGTTTTTGCCCCTTTCAGGCCGAAGTTGTCGCTGCCCTCACCATCTGACCTCCCAGCTGCCTCTGGATCCTTTGACTGCCATCCCTGGAAACTGAGCTGCATCTGCCCCGGGGGAGGCTTCTTGCCTCTGGCCCCTTCAGCAGACCACTTGCAGGTGAAAGTCTGGGAGGCCTTCACAGCTAGATGTTTGGGACATGATGCTGCTTTGGTTTTTTTGCCCCCTAAAAAAGCGACATCGAGAATCATTCTTGCCAGCAGAACATTAGAGTTGTGCCTTGCCAAGTGATGTGCTCCCAATTCATCCACTCCCAAATCCACATCCGCTGTGTGCTTTGTCCCACGGAAGATACCAGAATGCTCCTGAAGCTGCCTTGTGTGTGTCTTGCCCTACTCACTTGAGTGGAACCAAAGGATTATGCTGTAAATATGGAACAGCAATTGCAGAAACAATGGCTGTAATCCAGGACGCTTACTTAGGAATGCTCGCACATGGGATCATGTATATGCAATAGATAACAAGCAGACACACAGTGGTCCTTTCATAGCCTGCTTTCTCTTTGCAATCCATGCCTACACTGCCACACCACAACTGGTGTTTAAACTCCAACTGATGTAAAAAATCAGCTTGCCTTGCAGCTGTTTGGGGTGTGGGGGACAGTTCTTTCCATCATGCTTCCTTGGATCACCCCTTGTATCTGCTTCTCTTCAATTAATCCTTGTTCAACGTGCAATTATGGGCCAGTTTTATGTAATGTTTTTACTCCACTGGGGAACAGATGTGACAGAGATTACACCAGAATGTGGCTTTTACATGAAATATGTGTGAACAGATTATCGCGTTCTGCTCTCTGCCCTCTGTTCTCTTTGTGGATTCCAGCTCAGCTAGGAAAAACTCTAAATGTAATTGCGGCACATAGACACTTTGCCTCATTATTGAGTTCATCCACTCTGTCTGAATTTCCTTTCCCCTGGATGCTCCTAATTAGATGCGTCTGCACTGGTAAACACTCCTGAGAGAGAGAGAGAGAGAGAGAGAAACAGTCTTGCTTGATTGTACATATGATTATTTTATGCCATGTTTTACTGAGGCACACATGTGTTCATTCAATCTAAAGAGGATAAACGCAGTGCACAATGACATCAAAGCAGGTTTAATGCAGCATTCTATGCAATATGCACAAAATGCTAAAGGATGGGAAACATGAAAGGTCAGATTGCTCTGAAAGTACAGCTGTGAAGGTATTGTTGTAAACTGTCCAGAGAGCTACAGCTGTGGGGTGACACAGAAATAAAATAATTAATAATAATAATAACAACAACAACAAGTAAATTATGCATGCAGAAAGAAAAAATGAGAAGTTTTACACCTTAGGTTTTCAACATGGTGCGCTTAGAAACCAAAGGGCCCCTGGAAATCTCTCCTTGGGTCCATCAGGCTCAATGCTTCTGATTTAGTTTATTTCTCAAGTTTTTTTAAAAAAATAAATATTACTGGGACACTGGCATGTTACAAGGCAAAGCTTTGCCCCTCTAGCAACATCTTTATGAGTGATTTTGAAGCTCAGACACACACACACACACACCCCTCCACTTATTTTTCTATAGCAGTCTACTTTCCTTTTAGTCTCATCAATTTACCTTCTGGGAAATGTATGGTTTGTGACCAGTTGCACCTATCACAAAAGCCATTTTACCCCCAAGGCAGCCATTTTGTGAAAGTGCCCACAACACTCTCAAAATTCTAAATATGCCTACTGACCAAAAGACATTTGAAACCCTGTTCTTCATGCTAGTAAAAGTGGAAATAAAGATAATAAAAAGAACAGGTGGGAATTCCTGATTCCGCTTCAGAAACAAAATCAGCAGTGCAGTTAGATATCTGGATGTCATGCCTTCGTGCCCTCCTGCCTTGAGGTAAAGGTCCAGTGAGGGTGGTGCTCTTTAGATGCTAATGTGTAATGCCTAAAAGTGTAAGTAATACACATTACTGCTGTCTTTGGGGACCCTCTTGGCTATCCTGCTGAGTGAAGCTTAGCACACCTGCCTCAAAACTGATCAATTCCATGGACAAAGCTCAGTGAAGGAGAATTCTAGAGGCATTTCTACCCTGGAGATTCCTGTCAGCCAGAGATCTCTTTCCATCTTTATTTGCTGCCACATAAATCTGGGGGAAGAGTTTAGATGCCACTTACAAGGCACTCCTCAAATTGTTTATTTGTAAATCACGCTGTGCTCAAATGGGCATGATCCCTGATAAGCACAGGCGGAACTGTAGCTGCAGTCAAACTTGGGAGCCTGGAGAGTCCTGAGGTTTTATGGCTGCATTGTATAAGGAATCCATCAGATGTTAACAATGACAGTGACAGGATTTTGATTATTGTATATTGTACTACAAAACAACTTTCTGCTACCAACATATTTGATGACAGCGAATACAGCACTCCACTTGAATATATCAAGCACAGATCAATCTACCCAAATCATAAACTTGTCAATTATGAATGCTTGTCAATTATGAATGCCTAGGAATGTTATCCACTTGACTGCAGTTTCTGTCTTATCCTCAGGGACAGGTTTGATTCTCAGGAATCCTAGTATGATGGCTGATTCTGTATATATGTTTTGTTCATTGAAGTTTTTCCTGGAAACCAAGTTCTATTATACAACAACAGTTAGGAATAAGAAAATTCAGCTCTGTGACCTCTTGTTTCTATATTCCAACACTCATCCTTGCAACCATCTCCAGTTTTGTATTGGATTGCCAGACATATATGGGCATAGCCTAAAGAGAAATATAACATGGGCCTCAAAGATTTGATAGTGCACTGATGTTTTTACTAATATTAAATCATGAAATGTTTTGGTAGAGCAGAGCTAAGCAGGTTTTCCAGCTGTTGATAAAACCTAGAAAGCCATATGTTCGGAGGCTTACTGAGGGCACTAGGCTAGAGAGAAGGAGAGCAGGGTGCTATCACTTTTGTCTGGTTTGGCCATGAAGACAAGGCAGGCCACTGACTTCTCCAACCACCCAAGGAAGCCCTCTGGCCATCTGGCCTAGCAGTGAAAGCATCAAGGCTAAGCCAAAGGTAGGTCCCAAAACTGAGCTGCAGGAAAAAGCCAAGAGACTAAGGCTTGGAAGCATCCTTGTTATCCAGGAAAGGCCTCAGTTACGTGGGAATCCCTTTATCATTTTCCCTGTACTAAAGGGGGCAGTGGCCAGGCTAGGCTGTTGGGGCCCATCCAGAAGCTAGGAATACTTCACTTCTAAGAAGATATTCCAAGCTGACCACTCACAATATGAGGCAGCTCCATACGCAATGAGGGAGTCCCAGTTCTAGCCTGAGTCTGCTTGGCCTTGCCTTCTTCTGCCAACCTGTACAAGTAGCAGGTATCAACATGCATCCTGAATCCTGGAGTGGGCACAGACAGAGGCAGTGACTTGGCCAGTTCTTTTGCAGCTTGCAGTATGTTAGTTTTTCACACCGCTTCTCAGGTAAGACCGACTGTAGCAAGTGTTTACTGTAGGGATTAGGAGAATTGCGTGTCTCACAGGAACCTGCTCCCCAGGCACCTTAAACCACTGCAGGAAGTTCCCACAGTAATTTAACACACCCTAGTAAGTAGCTTACTGTAAATCCCATAGTAGTTGCTGATGTAAACCATATCATTGATCCCACAGGCTAACAAGGAAAAAGGCCATGAAAAATGTGACTAGGAACTCAGTTGTTTAGTCTCCTCATTTATCTTTCCTTTGCTCTTTTGCCACTGCCACTTCTCAGGCTCATTATTTCGTATAGCCACAGAGGGCCAAATTATCCCCACAGCGCAGCTCCACTGAAGCAAATCCACCTACAGTGCTTTTGTACATCGAGAAATTGACTCCGCATGGCTCAGAAGGGTAGCCCTCGGGACCTGTGCTATGATGCATCTACTGCATAAATCTGAGGCAACACGACAGGTCCTTGCAAGCACACGGAATCATTTGCTGAGTTACTTTTCTCCTTGTTCCCTTTTAACCATATGGTGTGCATCATGGGGGGAGGCAGGGAACTCCCATGCTGGTGGGGCTTCTCATCCATGGCTACGTTTCTGTTGAGCTTTCCAGGAGTTATCTGGGGTACTGAGCTCCACCCCCAAAAGAGGTTTTCCAACATTAAGCACCATGGACAGCTCCTACAAACTTAAGACAAACGCAGCACTAGAGAAGGCGCTCCGCTTGCATAGGAGTCACCAGCCTCCCCTGTAGATCTGTAATGCCAGTGACAAGTCAACGTCAGGCCTTGATTCATATCATGGAAGAGTCCTACTGATTCTTGGGGCCAAGCTGAGTCAGTTTCCCCAAATGGTTTGGAATATACATCTGTACCTTTTAACTACTGAAATGCTGCATGCTAAATTTGTGAACATGAGCCATTTATGGCTGAACTCTGAAATCACCTTTTTAGGGTGCAGATGGGGGCTCATAGCACTGCCAATCAGAAGGCATGGTCCAGCTCTTCTATTCACCCCTTTTGCAGTAAGAAAACACGTGGGAGAAGCCATGAGGAACCACAAGAGGTTTATGAGTTGAAGACAACAAGGTTTTCTGGACCCATCATAAAGTTCGATGAATAAGGCAGGCCAATGGAATGATAGAGGACTTATCTGGAAGCAGCTTGCACAGAAAAAACCAAACAGCATAGCACCCAAACTGGCACTCTGTGTACTTACACTGAAGTCCCACAAAGTGGCAAAGTTCATAGCACTTGCTTCTTCTGCTCTTGGCACAGTTTTTCTGGGTAGCGTCCCATATGCTTTCCCCATCAGTGCCTATATTCAGACACAGGACAAAGTATTAAACATTTAAATACACCCTCAAGAAACAAAGGCTGACATGCAATATGCAGCGGGAAACTCATTTTCTAGCTCATTTCTGAATTGCTCTATTGCTTCCCCTCTTTTAAATCAACATTAAACTTGATGTTCAAATTATTTGCAAATGAGATTACAGTCTACAAAAATCATTAGCCTGTCACATCAATGAGATCTCAAATATATAAGCTTTTGCATTATGAGCTGCTAATTTTGCAGTGGGAGAAAAAAATTATTGAGACTCTATGTTTCTTTCAAGCAGGTTTAAGGACAGATTCTGATGACACATCCTTGAAAAGTGGTTGCTTAGATACTCACTGCACATGGGCTGAGTCCTTATCAGATGCCAGTCATCCATAGTGACAGATGACATGGTGACGGTGACTTCTGTATGGCCCAATTCCTCCCCACATTTCCGAGAAGTGGTAGGAGGAGGTCCTTGAATTAAGCCAGAATCCCTATCTTGCTATAACCTTGAATAGGGACTTGGAAAGGACAAATTGCTTTTGACACATCACTTTATCTCTTAGCCTCAGTTCTAGCATGTGAAAGGGAAATTATACTTCACCATTTATGTGTCCAACATTTCATTCATAATAATATGGACACGCTCATAATACTCCAATTCTCACTGCCAGGACTGCTGATGTGCTGTATGGATAGGCCCAGGCTACTGTACTGCCAAGTTAGCCTGTAGGAGCCTGCCCTGCACTGATTTAAAAGCCAAATAATTGTTTGTACTTTGGATTAAAAAGATACTAGAAAGATATAAGCATTATAGAAGATGTTAACCCACTTTGCAGATCACAATTACCCAAGCAGTTCATTAATTCACTTAATTTATTTGATTTGCATCCCACATTTCTACTACAAAAATAGCACTCAAGGTAGTTTGAACTGTCAGAATTCATACAAAGACAAGAGTTCCTCACCACTCAAGTAGTCCTGCTGAAGCCAGGTGAGGCTCAACAGCCAGGGCTGCTCCTTCCCTGGGTTGTTGATGACATCCAAACCAGGTATTCTAAGTTGCTGCAGGAGAGACGACCCAGAATTGTAACCTATGGTCCATTCTTGGGTTACAACCATGGGTTGTCTCCCCAACAACTCATAATTCTAGGTTTAGACATCACAATCAACTCAGTGGGTGTGTGGGGGTGGGCTGAGGGGCAAGGACATTTGCTAATTCCCAACTTCCCATGGTTCAAATAATCCACACATAAACATAACATGTGAACTGGACCATATATCCTACTCAAAATATATCTCAGCAGTTACTGTGGGTGAAATTATAATCGGAGGCTGTTTGAACATATGTTACATTAATGGACAAAATAAAGGGTTCTGAGCACATTGCAGAGTAAAGTTCAAAATATCCTTAATAATCTTGACAAGTGAAATATGTGAGGGAGAGGAAAAGGTCTCTATCAACAGAGAACTCCCACTAAACATCAGTGTCACGGCTTAGTCTGGTACTGATTTTCCTCACCATGAAATAATGTGAACCTGGAGCCTGCGTTAAAAATGCTTTCACCTATGCTGGTTGCATCTCAGACCAAAGCTTTCTTTGTTTTCCACATTTTAGATTTTAAAGTAATAGTACTGGAGAGGGGAACTTTAGCCCTCTCCAGCAGACATCTCTCCCAAAAGTACCCCCTGTGCTGTCCGATTTTAATAGTCTAAATGGAGAGGAGCAGGGAAATTGTCTGAGCTCCAATCAAAATGCAGGGAAGGCAGCAGGCCCGGTGGGCATCTCCCACAGGTCCTGTTAGGCCCACCGGTTGGCGGTTTCCCATCCTTGTTGCATGACATTTAAGCCTAAACAGAAATAACAAAATAAGCTGCACGTATTCACTGAATCATCTCACCTCAGGCACCATAACAAGACCAAAGGTCAGCCCAAACAAAACTATATTTATTCCATACATCCATCTCAAAAATATGAAATAGGATGCCACTGAAGAGCCAAAATGACCTATAAAACATGAAAAAAGGGGACAAATGAATAATTCTTAACTCTCCCAGTACCTTGACAGGAAGAAACAAAACAGTGTTTAACTCTTCACTCCATAACTGGATGTTATCAACTATCTGAACTGGTACAACTGATTGAGGTACTGATTAGTATTTTCATTGCTGTGGGTGAACATATAGTATATTACAAAGGAGTTCCAGTATCCTTGATAATGATGCATTTGTTGTTAATAAAAGATGTATAATGATAAGAGTTGCTATAATAAAACAATAAAATTTGAATTCTAAAATATAAAAGGAAACAAACATCAGTTTAAGAGAATAATCAAGCCACACTTACTATTCATACATGAAAAATCATGGAAATTGAAAGTTAAGGCACTTGCCATAACTTCCAGACCATGGAGCAGTAAACAATGGGGTACTGCACCCCTGCCAATTCCTTTGTGCCCCCCACTGACTCCCTTCTGTGAGTCCCACCCCTTGTGCAACAGAGGTAAGGAGTTTCCAGGAGCAACTACACATGAGTGGAAATACATATTTCTGGAATGAAGCAGGTCAGCAAAGCTTGCATAAGGGAGCTCCACTGATCCAATCTAGAAATGAGAGTCTCTGTTTGTTTCAGGGCTTGCTATAAGGAAGCATTAAGTCTCCATTGAGCAAGTGATGGGTCCTGCTTGCACAACAGTATCAGTGGGAAAGGCTACTTCTGTAATGGCCCTGCTAGATACCACAGCATGTAATCATAAATTATAATTCTGCACTCACAGAATCATGGTAGAGTTGAAAGGGGCCATGAAGGCTCTCGGGTACAACCTCCTGCTGTTGCAGGATACCAAGTTACACCATCCCACTCAGATGGCTGTCCAGTTTCTTCCATCTTCTTGGAATCCTGACCTTTTCAGCCCTCACACTATCACTTACTTTCAATTTCTTTTATTTTCATTTCCCAAGGAATGCAGGCTGTTCTAAAATTCTCAAAATCACGTTGAAATTTCATCCATTTCTGAAAGTGAGAAGACAAGTTAAACAGGCTCAGGAAAAAAGCCAAGAAAGTCAAGAAAAATACTTTCCATATTAGAAGCATGTAAACCTCTTGTAAAATATCCATAATCCAGATGCAATCCATATCATTGGAATGGTTTTGGAAGGAATATTTCTGTCTTGTTTCAAATAGTACTTATCTTTCTTTACCCAGCAAGCAGATCTGCTAAGCAAGAGGCGGGGAACCTCTTTCAGCTCAAGGGCTGACTTTCAGTTTGGAAAGGCTCTCCAGAGCCACATGGGTGGGACTGAAGGCAAAGGAGCTGAGGCCAGAATACAAGCATATGTTAGTTTACAGCCATACCTTACAATAGCTAAGCCTCATGAGAGGCGTCTCGGGTTTTTGGAATGGGGAGTAATGCACAAAGGTGGGGAAGAATGATCGGTGGGTAGGGGGAAGGGCGTGGGCCCAAGGGCTACCCAGGACACCCTGGGAGGGGCGGCTTTTGCCCCTGGAATGAAGGGCCTGCTTCCCTACATTGACCGTGCCTGTGTTATGCACTTTCCTACATTCCTGCAGGGAAGGTATGAAAATGCCATCAGATAAAATAGAGGAGACATGAACCACAACGTTCTTAGGGTCCAATTATCCCACAACTGTATCTTTCAACATCTGAAGCACTGAGTTGCACTTCAGCTTCCCCGTGACACACACACACACACACACACACACACACACAGATTAACCAAGTGGGATCCAAAGGGGTCGTCCCTTGAGGCTGAGTGGTGGGAGATTCGGAACACGTAAAAAGGAAGCGCATCTTCACACAGCGCAGAGTTAAGCTACAGAATTCACAGCCACAAGAAGTTGTGATGGTCACCAATTAGGATGGCTTTAAAAGGGAATGGGACAAATTCATGGAGGAGGAGGAGGAGGAGGAGGAGGAGGAGGAGGAGGAGACTATCAATTGCTACTATTCCTGATGGCACTCTGCTACCTCTAGCATCAGAGGCTGCATGCCTATGTATACCACTTGCTGAGAACCATGGGTAAGAGGGTGTTCTTGTACCCACATCCTACCTGTGAGTTTCCTACAGGCAGCTGTTTCACCACTCTATGGACAAAAATCCAGACCAGATGGGACTCCTTACATTTTTATGGTTCATCAAAAGTTGTGTATGTATTTGCTAGTTATTATATTATTAGCCTGCAGACTCCTTGTAAGTATACTTAGGACAGCAACCCTAAGGGCACAATAAAGCTTTTAATCCCAGTGACTTGAAACAGGCTGTAGCAGGCCTATATGGATTACTTGCTCTGTGATTTTCCTGACCATCATCAGATTTTAATGTTCTCACTTATTGGCCATTTGCAATTATTGCAAATGCCCATGTGGTGTTATACGCTCTGCTGACTCTGAACAGTACTCAAGTGTTCAGACTTTTATTATTTTTCGCACTAGCATCCGAGAACCCAAATGCAGTGAGCATTTAATATGAAACCAGAAAGGTCTTTTGCAGTATTGACAGAAGTGGCAAACACACAGAAAAATGTGTCTGTGTGTGTTTAGGCCAACAAAATACAACCCAAATTAGAGTGATGCCATACACTTTAGAAGAGATATATGGAAAGGAAGGGCTGACTTTGAACAATTAAACTATTTCGTAGAAACAATGAGATAAGCCTTACTTTCATCATCATTACTTTATACGCATAAAACTGCTTCCCTTTGCCTTTGCCAAGAGCACCTTCAAATTTTTCCACAAAACGCTGGGCATCTCTGAAAAACAAACAGGCAAAATTAGAGGTGTTTGGGGCTTATGCTGAAAACATCATTCCTCTGGTCGCCTTGTCTGAAAAGAAATCTGACATTTCTCTACAATATGGGAGTTTTTGAGTGGGAAGTGTTGGACTCTTGGGTGTCACCAAGAAATGTGTCTGGGAGCACCATGTGTCCATGGGCAGCACATTAACCACCCTTGCTACAGCCAGTAGGTATGATGTTATGGTACAAATAATGTCAGGAAGATAGAAACATAGAAACAGAGCAAGTCAGAAGAGGTCTCCTGGGGCCATCTAGTCTGACCCCCAGCTCCAGCCTGCTCCGCTCATGACATCCCTATCATGTGCATGTCTAGCTATCCTTGAACACCCTCACTGATGGGGCTTTAACCACCTCCTGTGGAAGCCCATTCCATACCCTAAGTGTCCTAAGTATCAGGAAGTACTTCCTGGCATCCAAACTGAACCTTGGTTCCCTGAGCTTGGCTCCATTGAAATACATGCTGCCCTCCTCTGCAGGGGAAAACAGGAGAACAGAAGATCAAAGGAAAATAAAACGAGGATGCCACAGCAGTGCAAAAATGTCTACCTCATGCCAAGAACAACAGCAACACTGTTTAGCTTCTGTTGCCAAGTGAAGAAATGTTTATTTCATGCTTGTTTTTAATAATTTCATTTGTTTTTTTGCTGCTTGCTTTTATTTGTTATATATTGTCTCCTGTTGCCAAGTCAATTATTGTTTTAAGGTGCTGTATTATTACTTTTTAAATTGTTGATTTTATTCTGTTTATTACTGTTCTGTGAGCCACCCAGAGAGCCCTTCAGCTATGGCGCAGTGTACAAATATTATAAATAAATACATCAATAAATAAATGACAACCATCCTCTGTTTCATTGTCCCTACCACAACCAAGCATACGTTTTCTCCAGCAACCCGCATACCCTCAGCATAAGTGGAATAGTTGCATAATATATTTAGCTTATTTAACAGGTATTTTAATGCACATCGCCATCAGAATTTCACTTTATAACAGGGATCTCTTAAATGAAGTATGTGAAAAGCAACTCTGTTGGCAGAGCAGAATATCTCGAAAGATGGCCAACGGGTAATGAGGCGAGGAATGTGCATGCCATTATGCTCAATGAGCTAATTGAAACCAAGTCTGATCTGTTGCTGCAGTCATCAGACAACTATTGCAGAAAGCTTTATCCCTTCGTCACCTCAGGTTGCCTCCTCAGATACTGACTTTGCTCCTGTTTTTTGTCAATGTCAAAATACTAGTTACCTCCCAGAGATCTGTACACCGGGCAAAGCAAAAGGACGCTTCCAAGGCCATTCTCTACTTTAAATTCTTGCCCCATCAGAACCTAGATTTGCTGCAGTCACATTTAGTTCCTAAGCTGCAACAGAATGAGCAGCCCTCAATAGGAAAGATTCCAGTTCTTGATGCAAATCATTCCATTACAGTATGTTTAATATCTTATTGGCTAAATAAATAACTCCTCACTTATGAACAATCAAAATGAGGGAAATTCAGGCTTCCGTCTCTATCTCTGAAGTAGCAGCCACCTGTTCTCACTGGCAGGAGCACAACGACAGAGTCAAGGAAGCCCTTATGTGTATGCTCGTCTCTCTGTGCATTCTTAAGAACTATTGAAATAGTGGGTTGGATCCAGAGTTAGGGTAAATTCATTGAAATCAGTAAGTATGGAGCATCTAAATCCAGACAGTGTCCTCTACTATGCTCCCATGATGGTGGGCTCCATTCAGCCATCTGGTGAAGGTGACAGGTTTTTGGAGACACTGTTTTAACTTCCCACAATGCACCAATGTAGTGTTGCTCTGAGGCATTGTGGGAAATATGTCCCATAGGAGGTGGCCATTTTAATTTCCCACAGTGTCCCAGGGCAACATTCCATAAGGGGCCATATGTGATTTTAAAAGGGAGGCTCCAAGCTGCTAGACACAGGGGACCCTATGAGCAAAAAGAATTAAGACGACAGTGAACCTGGCCAGAGCAATAAGGTCCCAGCAGCTGTCTAAGGAGGCCACTCAAATGTACAGTACCTAAATCAGAATGTATATGAAGCTCTTTCAACACCCTACATCACAATATACATCGTTAAACATCATCAAAAGCATCTCTTTTTGCAGAAAGCAATGTCGATAACAAAAAAAAAATGCAGACAGCCATATTCAATTATGAGAAAGTGTCAGGAACACAAGAAATACAAACCTGGGGTTTGTAACCAGTCAGATTGTGTGTTATAGATAAATTATCAATAACTCAGCTTAGACCAAAGTGTAGTATCTTAGCTAACCCAGGAAAGCTTTATTAAATTCGAAGAAACATTAATCTAATTACCACATCAGGGACATCAATGTTTCAGGAGCACAGGTATTGTTGTCCTTAAATGGCCCATTTTAATAATTCAGTGTAGGTGTGCAGTTGCAGCTCCCAGAGTGCGAGTTGTACTGTAGTTGCCCTGTTTCAAGCTTGCAGAAGTAGGGGGATGAATTACTGAATGTAAGAGGTTGCTGCTGAAGAAGAGGATCCCGATGGATTGCTCAACTTTTCAGTAACAGGTCAAGATGGTTTCAGGCACCAGCTCAAATCTCATTAAAGAGAAATGTGGTGTTAATATTGATCAGCTTGGACTCCTTCAAGTCAACTCTTTAAAAAGGTTGGATTTTTAAAACGCCAAAAAGTCAGGCCTTGCCAGGTTTTAGCTCCAGGAGAACTGAGACAGGAGTGTAATCCTGGGTGGATGTAAACAATTTGTTCATTTAAATAAAGCATCACTGTGGCCTTGTTCCTACTTTCAAAAGCACAGGGCTACAGCAAGAGTGGAAATCCCACTTTTGGTTACAAAGCTGAACACAATTACCTTGGAGTAAACAGCAACAGGCTCAGTGACGCTTGCTTCCGTAACCCCATTCTCGTTTTAGGACCTGTTATGGCTTTCTCATCATATAGGAGATAAAGTTTTTTAACCAGTTACTTTGAGCTGGCTTACCCATCCATTAACAACCCTAGATTTGCAACATTTTTCAGCTCACAGCTAAATGCACAAAATGTATTGTGGCACTTAAAGGACTTTTCTATTAACGCTGTCTGGAGTTTTCACAGCAATAGCCAGCTCTATCAAGCACACATCCTTGAAGGGATGTCAGATATGAGGAATGTTCCGTGTAAGTGTGAAATAGCTCTTAGACTGATATACAGTCAAAGATGTAAAGAATCAGCAAGACACATATTTACTTTCCCACTTAGAAAAGATCTATCAAAGAATGAAGAAAACGCCATTGTCTCTGAGCCTGGCTGACGCATAAACTGGGGGAGAAGAACTGCCTACATAGAGCTGAACACAGGAAGCTGCCTTATGCTGAGCCAGGCCATTGGCCCCTCCAAGCCAGCGTTGTTGACCCTGGCAGGTAAGCACTCCTCCAGGGCTTCAGGTGGGAATTTTCCTGCCCTACCTAGAGAGCGCGCGGGGATTGAACCTGCAACCTTCTGCATGCAAAGCATGGACTCTGCCACAAAGCCATGAGCCCTTCCTATGTATATTACCTCTGTGTGGCCACCAGCAGTGGGGTGGGGTAGGTAGCAACCAGAATGAAGGCATTCGCATTGACTTGCTGTTCTGTACCTTTGTCTACAGCTTTGGCTTTTGTTATTTTGTATAACGAGAGAGTTTTGGCTAGTGGGCCATGTATAGAATTTTAATAAAAAAGGAAATTGTTATTTATTGCATATTATCATCTGTAGAGATTGGGCCCATTCCTTCTAGAACAGAACCTCCAAATGTTGTCAATCAGATCCTGACAGGACACAGAGAGCCCAGCTGAAATGCCAAGGCCAGCAGATCCAGGGATAAGCCAGGCAGTCACTGAGAATCAGTTTCACATTCTGTAGGAAAGGTTAATGGCAAGCTGAAGTTGGAGGGGCAGACCCAGCGTCATTAATCTGAGACTCCAGTGCTGGGTTAAGAGAGCTGGCCAGCTGAGAGGTACCAGATGCTCCCAGATGTTGGCCTTATGCAATGGGGCCCACCCTGACAGTGAAGCTAGCGCTTTTCAGCTTGGAAAGGAAGAAAGAAATTCTGTTTGGAATTAATTTTGTATCGTTATGCCACATTAAGCCAAAAAACACAAGCCAATCTTACAATTTTGCTTCTGTCTTTATTGACTTCTGCAATACTCCTATTTTGTATCAGAAAGCCAGCCTAGCTAGTCAGCTTTAACACAAACACTTCAGTTATAAGGCTTTTTGTCCTGATCTGCTTGGAAGGAGGGGTAGAAAACCAGCTCATGACATCATCCACTTTGGGATCAAATCACAAAGAATGGTCTATTAATTCCTTTCCTTAATTGGTCAATAATATATAAGAAACATCGCTGTCTATGTACTACCTCTTTTACCAGAGCTGGCATGCCTGTGCAAATGAATTGCTGAGGAGCTTCGGCAGGTAGAGGTCTTGTACCATCCTGCTTCAGCGAGCCTGTGGGCAGCTGGTTTTTCACCATATATATGAAGTGCTGGACTGAATGGACCTTTGATCTGATCCAGCAAGGTCCTTCTTATGTTCTTAACATATGATGAATGGCCCTATGGGACAGATGTCAGATGATATATGAGTTGGTTCAGTTTACATCAATATGAAGGGCCATCACAGGTCTCGTGACTTAGCGGAATTCACTCGAAGCCACTGCTGATGAGAACCAGCCCTTCCATATGGGGGTGGTTACATGATCGCTGTGATTTGTGCTATCATTCTGACTCAAAAAATGGACTTGGCAATTGTTCCAGTAAGGGCAGGCTTAAAGACAGTGCCCACACGGAGCCACTGATGTGCACCAAGAGTACATCCACATGGAAGTGGCGGAAACAACTGCTGGCTTGCTTACATGTATGAATGAATCATCATGGATTAATCAGCGGCAACAGAACTGCATGGCACTTCCAACACAATGTTTTTCAAAGGCACCAGTGGACTTACTCCTCTGAGAACAAGTGCACGAGAGCAAAATAATCAAGTAAACACAAATCCAAGTTGTATGTGCATGTGTGAGCACACCCTAGTTTTATGTATTACATGTTACTTAAAGACCATACTTCAAGACTTGCAGTTTCTTTTTCATATTCCAAGGCTTGTTTCGTAAAGTAGCAATCAGCTTCTTTTTCTCTTCTACTGCTTCTTTCAGCTTGGCCAGTTCCTCCTCGGTAAGCTCCTCTTCCGAACTAGAATCAGAGCTTTGAGAAAAAGCCAAGAATGAGATGTGAAAAGCTTGGGAGTCTGGCTGACAGATGTGAAGTAACTGATTGCTTTGGTGCTCTATTTTTCTGGAAATACATATATATTTATAGGTGTGTATTTATTCAATAAATCTACTACAATGTGAAGTAGTAACATATCCCTCTAACTTACAACTTCCATTTATGCAAGCTCAGCCACCCAAATGAAGTCCAAATCTTGATAATGTAACTGAACTTATTGGGATTTAACGTATAAACTGATTTAGAAAATGCATAGTGCTTCCAGCACTGCAGTTTCTATTGCAACATCGTCAGTGTAGCCTACAAAGAATAATAAAGCATCATTCTGAAAAGTTAACTTGAAAGTTAACTGAAGGCAGCAGGCAACTTGGGATCTCTAAGGAAGGCTGTGGGAACAGAACTTCCCCCACAGCCCTCTCCTTCAACAGCCTGTGCCACCCCTCAGCATTTGCTGCCTGAGATGATGGCATCACTCTGTCTCATGATAGAGCTGGCCCTGATGTCAGCACCTTAAATTGAGCATGGAAGCAAACTGGTAAAACAGTAGGGCAGATATAATATTGGTATAATATAAGCTGACCACCTTGTTCATAGCAGCATCTTGTTGGTTCCATTCTGGACCAGTGCTACTTGCTGAATTGTTTTCAAAAACAACCCCATGTAAAGACTACTAAAGTGGTCCAGCTTGCATGCAAACCATGCATGGACAATTTTTTCCAGATAGGGTCCTCACTGGCCAATCAAAGCCAGTAAAAGGCACTCTTGGCTACCACAGAAGAGTATCGTTATTCTTCTATAAAATGAAAAAGTAATCTTTATGTCCAATAGGTTTACTAAAGAGCTTTATATGCTTTGCTGGCACACTCGCCGAACCTGCACTGCAGTGCCAATCAATGCATGGAACTGATTCAAGTCTCTGTTTGAGTTATCCTTAAGAGCCACTTCCCTTTTCTGTATAAAGCTGTCTGTTCCACAATCCATTTCTAAAGCTTTTCTCCTCAGTACTTTTAACTGTACTGTCATTTTAGGCTTCATGGTGTCATTTTCAGACATTCCTTCTGGAGAAAAAAAATAGTGATGAAAGGGAACTTGTTCAGCATCCCACAGATCTTATCATAGTTATAATATTTTGGTTCCCTAAAAACCAGGTCAGGATAAAGCCCACAATCTCATTAGCCATTCTGCTAATTCTAAGGAGGCCATGTTTCTAGAAGCACCTCAACAATACTTGCTACCTTTAAAAATCCCTCAGATATAATCAAAAGATATGTTGAGGGATGCCTGAAGCTCTTCACTTTAAGAGAGTCCTATTTTAAATCCCAGGCCATCATAACCTGAATGGAAATAAGGCATGACCCTGAGATCCACCTTTTACGCTTCCACCAGAACTCATTTCTGGGTCAGGACAGACTGGAGGCACTCCTTATGTGACCTCAGCTGACCTGCCCTGTTCCAGAAAAAAGGAGTTCTCTCCCAGAAGCACGATATGGTTGTTGTGCAAGGGGAACATTGTTTGTGGAGTGGAATCAGCAGGGCACACCAGACTCAGCAAGGGTGCACCACCTCACTGAATATTTAAGGTGCCTTTGTATTAACTCTGCAGGGTTCTTCTTCCTGCCTTCCTTCCTTTTCTTTTCCCCCCAAACAAACTGCATCATCTGAGGGATGAGCTCAAACTGAATGAGATCATATGTTATAAGGTGAATTATTTACTTGATACCCATGTCAAAATTTTATGCAATAATTATTAGTCTTAATATTAATTAATTTAACTAAGTATTAATTTTAACTAAGTATTATGTTAAAATTGTAGTTATAGATTTGGTAGATGTAATAGCTATTACTTATTTCTGTGATATTCCCTGCATCTAGTATTAGATGTAATTATAGTACAAAGTCCCTTGGTAACTTTTTCTTTTCATTTCTTAATTTTTGTTTCACTTTATCTATTAAAAAACTGAATGTCAAGGAACAGAGGAGCTGGTTAACCTTTTTGTTTTCTGCTATGGTCCTCAGCAAAATCCTTCCTCTGAAGCTAGTTTTTTTTCCTGTTGGCATCAAATATAAATTTAATATCATATGTAATTTGAGCCTGAAATATCACAGCATCGAAATGTGTCTTTGGACAGAGATTTTGATTTGGTAACTCTGAAAAACAGGAAAGGAAAAGCTCTTTGTGCACAGCTCCAATCTCCATTCTGTGACAAAACTGAAAGTAGATACAGTGATTTACACCTTTGTGTAGAAACCTTCTGCAGTGTAGAGCTCAAGGGATCATACTAATTTCCACCAGCATGTTGGCACAGCTTATAACAGTGGAACCATCGCCTTTCAAGAGGTGCAAGCAAAGCTAGTGCATTACCTTGATCCTTTTCTCTTTTTGTCCTTTTTCTTCTTCTTCCCCTTTTTCTTGTCACTCCTGCATTTTCTGTCCCCATCCTCATCTTCTTCATCATCCTCATCCCTGGACCCATCCCTGGTCTTCTGGTTTGCTCTGTTCTTCCTGCTTTTGCAGCCTTCTCCATCAGAGTCGCTGCCCTCTTTTTCACCACCTTGCATCCTCCGCCTTCTGTATCTTCGCCTGCGTTCTGCAGCGGTCTCCTCCTCCTCTTCATCCTCTTCATCTGCTCCATTTTCCCCTCTACTCTTTCTATTTGATGTTCCTTTCTTCTGCTGAGATGGCTCTTGCAATCAGAAAACAGAACGAGAGTTACTTCACTCTCGTAAACAGCTACATTTTCTCTTGCTTCCAACCAGCCCACCCAGATCACACAAAATTATTGTTCACTGTCATAATTTCAACCCAGGGCAGGGCAATGAATCACTCACTGGCCAGGACAAAAGAGGATCCAGCCAGTCGTGACATTTCAGACTGTGAAGCTAAAAAACCTAGGCGTCAAATTGGGGCCAGCCCTACCATGAGGCAGAGTGAGGCGACCATCCCAGATGGCAGATACTGGACACCAGCAGTAGCTGCCCTCTGACTGTTCCTCCTGAACTCGGCAGCAGTTTCTTTCGGCCAGCAAACAGAGCCGGTTACATCACACGTCCCTTCAATCAGCCTGCTGCCCCAGGGGGAGTGGAGGACAGTATGCTGTCACCCTGGTTGCTGTATGTTTCAGCTACCAGTCTGGCCTGCTCCTGCATAAGCAATAGGGAGGGGCCACCATCTTCTGCTCTGCCTTCAGCAGCAAAATGTCTGGCTGGCTCCGCGGTGGTGAGTGACCTTGCATAAGCCTCTCAACCTATTATATTTCACATATTAGCCTTTTATGAGACTAATTCATCCCTTTGCGCTCCTCAGAGGGAGGATCTGATACAAAGGTATCTGTGACAAAACTAAGAGATGGTCGCTTTCCGGGGACCCATTTGGTGGTCAGATGCTGTCTACCTGGCGCACACTGCTAGCCCTGTTGTAGAAAAGAGCACTTTGATCTGACATTAGAGACTAGTACAATTGCTGACATTCCAAGTCCTTTATAAGAACATAAAAATGGCCCAGGTCAATGTATTCTTCTAGTGTGCAATTATGCAATTTCAGGACAATGTTTAGTTGCAGCCAAGAGGGTCCACTCGGCTGAGACAATAAAGGCAGAACATCATGTTCACTGTGGCTCCTGTCTCGGAAACGTGAGTCACAGCAGGAAGCTGTACACTTGCTTCAGATGCAGTTAATGCTCTCCAAGGGCAAAGATAGCATCACCTGATCCTCAACAGAAGTGAGCACCTGGGCTGAATCCTTTGCTTCTGTGCCTTCCCTGCCTGACATGACCACCAGCACCACCACTGTGGGGATCAGAACTATCAGAGTTAAGAACGTAAGCAACCCATTGGCTCAAGCAAGAGGCTGCATCCAACAACAATTCTATGCAGAGCAGGTCTGCTGAAATGAATGGATTTCACAGGGCACAAACCTAAGTGCCAATCCAGCCCAGCATGCTCTTCTCATCAATGCCTACATGAAAGCCAGAAGCAAAACATATGTTCAATGTGGGATGTTAATGCACTGAACTGAAATCATGAACAGTAGGATTCTATGACAAGGCTTCGAGGTGGCTGGATAGAGGGGATGCGGCTGATGTGGTTTACCTGGGTTTCCGCAAGGCCTTTGACCAAGTGCCCCATGATATCCTGGTGGAGAAATTGAGGGGTCTGGGGATAGACCGATGCACTGTCCAATAGATTAGGGCATGGCCGATGAACCAAAAACATTAGTGGGGAATCACTGGGATGGCAAACAGTGATGACTGGGATCCCCCAGGGCTCAGTCCTGGGACTGATCCTATTCAATCTTTTCATCAGTGACCTGGAGGAGGGGGTGAGAATTCTTCTGGTCAGATTTGCAGATGATACTAAAATGGGGGTGGTGGCTACAACTGAGGAGCAGGTACTCCAGATCCAAAAGGATTTGGACAGATTATGGAAGTGGGTCAGGGATAAGAAGATGGCATTGAATGCAGATAAGTGCAAGGTCTTGCACTTTGGCCACAGGAATGGGCATCACAAGCATGGGTTAGAGGACAAGTGGCTGGAGAGCAGCACTTGTGAAAAGGATCTTGGGGTGCTGGTCAACCGCAGGCTAAACATGAGCCAGCAGTGTGATATGGTGGCCAAGAGGGCGAACGCCACCCTTGGACGCATAGCCAAAAGCATGGCTTCTATACTGAGAAAGGTATTACTGCCACTCTATACGACTCTGATGCGATTGCAGCTGGAGTATTTTGTTCAGTTCTGGGCCCCTCATTACAAGAGGGCATAGCAAGGTTGGAGCGAAGGGCCACTAGGATGGTGGCTGGTTTGCAGGGTAAGCCATATGAAGAGAGACTGAGAGAGCAGGGTCTTTTCAGCCTTGAGAGGAGGAGACTCAGAGGGGATCTGTTAGTGAAGTACAGGTATGTAGGGAGTGCCAAGCAGATGTGGGACATGAACTTTTTTCCTCTGCAGTGGAGGGCAGGACATGTTCCAGTGGAGCAAAGCTCAGGGAACCAAGATTTAGGGTGGATGCCAGGAAGAACTTCCTGATGGTTAGGTACCCTAGGATATAAAACAGGCTTCCACGAGAGGTGGTTGAAGCCCCAACAGTGAAGGTGTTAAAGGATAGGCTGGACGTGCACATGGTAGGCATGTCATGGGTGGAGCTGGCTGGAACTGCGGGTCAGACTAGATGGCCCAGGAGACCCCTTCTGACCCACTCTGTTTCTATATTTCTATGCTCCAGTACTTATTCAGTACCACACCAAGGTCAGAAATATAACTCATGAACTCTAAGTGTGAAGGCTACTAAGTTCTTTTGCAATGCTAATTGCTGCAAACAAGGAACTGACTTGTGATCTCTCTTTCCTAGTTTTTCTGCTCTGGGGAAGGCAAGGTTCTGCAGAACTGAAACTTCACCCCAGGGTCTTTTGGAGTCCTTACCTTCTTCACTTTCAGCGGCACTGTCTTCTTCATTGTCAACTTCAATGTCCACTGTGGAAGAAAAACAAGCATTCTGTATGCCATTAAGTTATTCTCCACATACAGAGAACACAGGAGGAGAAAGATTTGCAAACAATTTGCAGGTGCTGCTTTATATGTCCAGATGCCAATTTGGAAAGAATGGCTATAATTTAAATACAAATGTAATGCAGACCTCCATAGTGGGGAGGTCTGTGGCCTAGAACAGAGAAGGGTAATCTCTGGTGGACTGGGGCCAACTGAGATCCTCACACCTCCCGGCATTGTGATGTAGCACGGAAGCAAAAAGGAGGGGTAAATTGTCCAAAATAGGCAACACTGTTTTGCTGCCATACCACCAAACTTCAGTGGCAAACCATATCGCATGCTCTTGAAGACATCTAAAAATCTGCAGGCATGCTGCTCAATTTTGGTGGTAAATACGGCAGGGCTAGGAAGCCACAAAGACAGTTGGGGGCACACGTGCCCCAGGCGTTGCCCACCCAAGAAAGAGAGCCACCTGCAACTAGGAGACTGTTCTCTGCAAAGTATATACAAGGCCACCCGTCTGACAGGTGCATTCAGACATCACGCTGACCCACACTGGCACTACATGAATGACATACAGCACAGTGCACCTGGCAGAGATCAGTCTTACCACGAGTCCTTCACCCCTCCCTCCCACTTAGTCTTCCTGCTGGCATCCCAAGGAACACCAGGGCAGGAAGACTTGTCTTCTCCTCCCTGCTGTGACTGCAAGTCCTCTCAGCTCACCAAGGCTTTCCCTCCGTTTGTTTCAGGGTCTGCTTTCACGATCGCTGTTTGGACAGTCACTGGCAGCCCCTTCAAAATGCCCATGGGCCACCTTGGAGGGATCTCCATGGACACAAACCTTTCTAAAGTATTTTTGCTATTATTTGAGACACTCCAGTGCATGCCCATAATAGGAGACATTAAAATGTTTTGTTCTGCAAATGTGCAAGGGGTCCAGAAATGGGCAGCCTCGCCTGGGCAATGCTCAGGACAAAAGCAGCAGGTGCTCATGTCGGACATTGTCCGAGAGAAGCCCAAGTAGCCTTCTGCCCCCTCTTGGTTTGGTTTGGCAGCTGGCAGAAGACAAACAAAAAGCACAATTGATCCATGCTTGCAAAAAGATGTGGGACTTGCGCTCCCTTTGCAGCAAGATGCTCTTTTGGAATGACACCACTGTTCCAAGAGTGCTCTTGCTTCTAAGAGTCTAGGTGCTCAGGAACATGGAAAAGTGCACAACAGCCCTATTTTAGAAGGAACTGGAGTTTAAAAGCTAGCTGTCAAGACTCTAGTCCCTTTGCAAAGTGTGCCTTGCAGGTGTCCCTGTGGTTTCTTCACAGGGACATATGCAGGCATGAAAACAATGTGGAGAGCCCCAGGGAGAAAGGAGGAAATTTATTGGGAAATCCCATGTATTTAGGCTACAACCCTGCACATACTTATCTGGCAGTAAACATCTTTGAACTCTTACTTCTGAGTAGACACAAATGGGTTCACAGTATGAGTGTACCAGTTGATTAGTTATTCTGGGGCACAACTCCTGTGATACACTGTCACTCTGAACACAAAGTTTGGTTTTATACCAAAGTTTGGTTTTTATGAAGGAAGGATATTACACAGAAGTTAAAGAAGGAAAACAATAAAGTACCCTGATCCTTCAGATATTTTGAAAGATGGATCTATTAATCATCTGCATGTTGATCAAATTCTACCCCACCCCTCATCCGATGACAGCTTTTATGTCTGAAAAAGTCAAGGGAGACCATCACACATCTCCTACACCACATGAACTTTGGCAAACAGATGGCTCTAATTACAGAGTGATCCATTCGTCATATTCTTCGAGATCCCCCTTCAGCTACATTGCTCCTATTTTCACACAACATTTGGAAGAAATCTGCTCTAATTTAGCGTAAAAATAATAACTCTGATGACTTGCATGTTAATTTGGCAAGTCAAAACTCTAATGGAACCAAAGGATTATTCCTTTGATAAAGAAGTTAAAGAAGGTAGTATTGTGAAAGGAACAGCCATGTTGGATCTTGTTTCCTTAATGTGCACAGGGTTAGTCAGAACCTGACAAGCTGCTGTTTGTTTTGTTTTGTTTTGTTTTGTTTTGTTTTCTTAAAAGGCATGTATGTAAGAAGCAGACATCCTTTCCTCAAAGCCAATAACATGTTCGGCCATTTCCAGCAGCATCTGCATCTTATTTTCCCCCTAAGGATTGTGCAAAAATGTTATTCAATATCAAGAGTGGGACATGAAAATGAGTGCTCTTTTGTTAGGTGTGGATATATGCTTTCCTTTGGAGGCAGTAACTGGATCCAGATTATACAAAGATCATTACAATTGTTACTGAGCTCTTGCAGTGATGGAGACAAATACCTCTGAAAAAGATGCTTTGCATGATAGATTAGGGCATCCACTTTTATTTGCAAGTAAAGCTTCTCAGCCAAAAGGAAAACACCCATGGAAGCATTATAAAGGTACGGGACTGGCTACAATGTGAGTATGAGCAGTAAGAACATTTATGATATACCTTGGAATGTACATTAAAGCTGAGATCATATATTCTACAGAAATCAACATGCTTATAGCTAAACCAAATAAAGGCACAACATTATGCATAACTGGGGCTTAAACACATCATCAATGTAATTGATCGAATTTAATTAAGCACAGTGGGACAGAATAACTAACAAGCTAAGCAGAATCCAATGGGCAAGATAATATGTTGATCCTATGTGCTTATCCCCTGTGACCAAAGGGGGAGGAAATCCAATTTCTTTCAAATCATAGAAAGACTGTGTTTCTCTACCCGGCCAACACAACTGTAAATAGCAAAAGAAATCCAGAGCAAAGCTAGCGGCAAACAGAGCAAAGCTAGCAGCAAACAGAAGTGGATATTAGTCTGGAAAAAGGGGGGTAAGGAGAAGTAGTGGATGAGCCCAGAATCATAAAGCCAGTGCAAAGTAGCTGGAATGTCAAGAACATAAACTCTAAGCAAACCTAATATTTTCACATTATATCAGGACTATTATTGCCCTAGAGATACTAGCCAATGTTAGGCCTACACAGAGTAAACCCATTAAAACAAAAAGGTCTTTCATTACTCATAACTAAAATAAGTCCCCTTCATTTCAATGGGTCTACTCTACATCAGACTAATATTGGATAGAACCCCTACAGTGAAATAAAACTGCTATCCCATGTTAGGAGGGCATTCATGCTTGTGTTTCTAGATGCATTTGCAGTTTCAAACATGAATAAGGTTTTCCATGAAGCACAATGGTTTTGGACAATACCTTCATGTTACTATTTTTTAATCTGCCCTTGTATTGCTTAGTTATGGCTCGACTAATAGTTTTACAAAATAGATAGATAGATGAAACATCAGGAAAACCCTACCTCTGATCTAATGACTGCTTCTCTCTTTTTTCCCTGATGTTGCAACTTAATTCATTTTTGCAAATTGATTTTTTTTTTCAAACTCCAGCAGTAAAATAAAACTAGAATCACAGACACTAAAATAAGTGGATCCAACATATCTTATCCTTTCCTCAAATCAAAGATTCTTCCATAATCCACCTTAGCCAGATGTTGTATTTAAAAAAGGAAACGCAGGAAATGAGAGGAGGAAAGAAAGTGCAGTCAGTGCATGGCTATCACAGGTTCACAGGCCAAAACTGTTGCTAAGCTGCTCTGATCTCTTACTCAAACACTTCTGAACAGTACTTCCAGATCTGGTCGTGTCTGTCTGGCGCTTCACATCTGCTGCAAACATTTCCCCTTTTTACCTCCACCTGATCCTTCCTCTCCAGCATTCCACAGTAAGAACTTCCTTAGACTTCCTGCTTTGGCAGAGCTGCATGCATTGCCATTAACGCTGTTCTAGATGTCAATTCCGCACAATATTTTGGGGCAATCCATGTTGCAAACATACTATATAGCCTCATATAACCCCTTCATGGATCACTGCCTTGCCGTGGTGAAGGGGCTTGCATAGCTCAATGAAGCTATGAGCTATGCCGTGCAGGGCCACCCAAGACGGAGAGGTCATAGCAGAGAGCTCTGGCAAAAGCTGATCCACTGGAGAAGGAAATGGCAACCCACTCCAGTTTCCTTGCCATGAGAACCCCAAAATGCAAAAAAGAACCCCAGTACCAAAATGCAAAAAAATACGACGCCGGAAGATGATCCCCTCAGGTCGGAAGGTGTCCAATGTGCTACTGGGGAAGAGCAGAGGGCTAGTACTAGTAGCGCCAGAAAGAATGAAGCGACTGGGTCAAAGTCAAAAGTTGCAGATTTATCTGGTGGTGAAAGGAGAGTCCAATGCTGTAAAGATCTGTACTCCATAGGAACCTGGAATGTAAGATCCATGAATCAAGGCAAACTGGACATGGTCAAGCAAGAGATGACAAGACTGAACATAGACATCTTAGGAATCAGTGAACTAAAATGGACAGGAATGAGTGAATTTAATTCAGATGATCATCAGGTATACTACTGTGGGCAAGAATCCCTCAGAAGAAATGGAGTAGCCTTCACAGTCAATAAAAGAGTAGGAAAAGCAGTACTGGGATACAATCTCTAAAATGACAGAATGATATCAGTTCAAATCCAAGGCAAACCATTCAACCTCACAGTAGTCCAAGTTTATGCCCCAACCACTGGTGCTGAAGAGGCTGAAGTTGACCAGTTCCCTGAAGGCCTGAAACACCTTCTAGAATTAACATCCAAAAATGATGTCCTTATCATCATGGGGGATTGGAATGCTAAAGTAGGAAGCCAAAAGATAACCAGAATGACAGGCAAGTTTGGCCTTGAAGTACAAAATGAAGCAGGGCACAGGCTGGTAGAATTTTGTCAAGAGAATATGATGGTCATAGCAAGCACTCTTTTCCAACAACCCAAGAGAAGACTCTATATATGGACATCACCAGACAGTCAACACAGAAATCAGATTGACTACGTGCTCTGCAGCCAAAGATGGAGAAACTCTA